TTTACAGAAGTGGTTTATTCTATGTACAGGACAGAAAATAGAGAAGACTGACCCAGGCTAGTAAAGCACATTTGTGGGGCTCTTCAAAGAACCAACTGAAAGAATGGCCAGATGCCAAAAATTGTGAAATTAAAGTGAATGAGTTAATAAATAATACTTAGATTATAACTAAAACTAGAAGCTAAATGCCCATGAACCCACAATTCCTGAATAGGGCAAAATTAATGATAATAGAAATCATTTTGATATTCTGGGATAAAAACACTGTATCATTTGGGGATATATTGATTTATGTTTCTTGTCCTAGAATATCCAAGTGATTTGGGCAGTTGTATTTCAGGGACTCAGTTATTATGATTGCAGTTGTTTGAAATCTCTGCTCCATTTGGCTATTGCCACTCTACTCAACTAATTCTATTTCAAGGCTATGGAAGATTCTTGCTATACTTAATTACATGCTTTTCAATATACTATTGGTGTTAAAGAATACCCAACATGTGCGCATTTCCTCTAAACTATGTGCCGTGTTGTATAGATTAGTATGATGCATTTAAAAATAGATAAAATATTGATGTTTAGAGTGTTTCACAAAGCACTGAAATATTGAATTTCCTTAAACAGATGAATTGAACAGTTGTACCATGAAGGAAGTATTTTGTAAAGTTTTTACATCTATTTATTTATTTTATGTGCATGAATGATTTACCTACATGAATGTATGTGTACCATGTATGTTCCTGATGCTATAGAGGTCAGAAGAGGGCATCAGACTTTCTGGAATGATAGGGATGATTGTGAGTCAGCATGTGGGTGCTAGAAAGGATCCTGGGGTCCTCTTTAAGAGTAACAAATGCTCTAAACCACTGATCCATCATTCCAGCCTCCATGAAGGATGCCTTTTAAGAATATTGATGGTTCTTTAATTAAAATATAAGAAAAATCCATTTCTGAAGGCTCATCAGAAGTGTAAGTATAGGTACCTGTTTTTTAGACTCTTGTTTGTCAGTGTTTTATTTTTCTAGATATTTTATGTCATCAGATTTCTTTGGAATATTCCTTAATCTTTTTCTCCACTTTTATTACTGTCATTGAAAGTCAATATTTGTGATGGGATCATTTAGGGATTGACTTGTCTCTCTCTGATGTCCTGGGACCTTAGGCCTCCTAACTTTTGTACATATTTCTTCTCACCCTTAAAGAGCCAGTTTGTACAAACAAGACTATTCATTAGTTCTTAATTTACACTTGGGATTTTAAACATTTGCTTCTGTGGTGATATATCCGCTTTTTTTAGTGTTTATTCGTCTGAGCAGAGTTTCTTCCCATGACGTCTTTCCCAATCATAGCTCCTTAAATTTCCCACCAGAGCATAGTCTTCCAGTGTGAAGGAATAAAAGACATGTTCTCTGTCTAATGCTATTGTTGATACCTTGATACCTGAAATGCTCTGGTTTTTTTGTCTTAAAAAATAGATCTAATTCTACTTTTTTGGTTGGTTTTGTTGGTTTTTGTTGTTGCTGTTTTTCGAGAAAGGGTTTCTATGTGTAGTCTTGCCTTTCCTGGAATTTCCTGTGCAGACCAGGTTGGCCTTGAACTCAGAGATCTGACTGCCACTACCTGCTGGGATTAAAGGTGTGCACCATCACTGCCCCACTTCACCTCTAAGGAAAAAAGAAGATAAAAGTGTTTCTGTCTCAGGCATGTGGATTAAGTGTCTGTTGTGTGAATGAGTTTTATTGTGTCTGAGAAAACCAAGTTATCTTCATTATTATGCTCTCTTTTCTTATTTACTTCTTTATAAACTCAGCATTTTGTCTGTCTATCAAATCCGCTTCTACTAAATCATTTTCCATATTGCATTCAGGCATCCTGCTTGTTTCATTGATTTCTGTAGAACAGAGAAACAATACACCTGCCTATGGTTCACTTTATTACAGAGACTTCTGGAGTATGATGTCCTTGAACAACCAAACATACAATATATTTAAAATGTTAAATCTCACAACTAGTGTGTAAATGATGTTCCTTGATAAAGTTTGGATTGATGCATGTCAAAGAGATGCAAGCCAAACTGAACGATCTCTAGCTAGCCAGTGCTGGGACAATTTGAACAGTTTCAGAGGGTTAGTCTATTATCATTATGGCAGGAAGCAGCCAAGCATGGCACTGGAGCAGTAGCTGACGGCTTTACATCTTGATCCACAGGCAGCAGGCAGAGAAAAAAATACCAGGCCTGGCATGGACTGAGGTTTTTATAGTGAAGTTTATTTGAAAAATTAAACACTGACATCAATTCCATAGCTCTAAGCGCTGATGTTTTTCGTCACTGTATTAAGGTTGGCCAATGCCTGAAAACTATCTGTTTCTCAGAATTTGAGAATTAATTATGGTGCTGAATATTGGCAATATGGGTAATAAAATGGGCTGGTGATTTTGCTTTGCAATTGTTGTTGTGAGGCAATGTGAAGTGTTCTTAAAAATGTCTCACTTTAAAGTTTGAAAATACTGTCTGAATTCCAATATGTATTTTCTGAGCTTTTATAAATCTCAAATTATTACAGACATATGTGTCTATTATAAAAAATAGGAAATGTTTGAATCAGATTTGTATTGCTTATATCACTAACTTTCATTCACTACCACTCTGACCTGTGCTAGAAATGGCTTTCTGTTGCTTTGACATGACAGGCAGAGATTGGGACTCATGTTCAACATTGTCTCTCCAGTATTTAGCATAAAATTGATGTTCAATACATTCAGAGTTCTAGTTAGACAGGAAATGTAAACTAAAAACCTATTGCATATCAAAGTGACCATAGCTAGTATAGTGTGTATTTATTTGTAAAAAAAATTTTGAGATTATAATTTACTTATATTTCTCCCTTCCCTTTCCTGCCTCTAAACCCTCCCATATGTGCTACCCCTCTCTCATTCAAATCCATGGCTCTTTTCTTTACTAATTGTAATTACGTAGTATGTATTTCAAAGTGGCTAAGAGAATACATTTTAAATGTCCTCATTACCGAAAAATGATAAATGTGTTAAATGATGGCTATATCAGTTAATGATATAATTACTGTGTAATATATCACAACATCAAGAATACCACACATGCACCCCATGTGTACAAGTACCTTTCAGTTAATTTTAAATTGAGAGACAAGGAAGTCAATAAGAGTCAGACATTGCAGTCATCTATTTCTCTGAAGACTTCTTTCTGCATTGCTGGTGATCAAAATCAGGGCTCTGCACATGCTAGGCAAGTACTCTACCCCCAAGCTGTATTTCCAGTCCTGGAGACTTTTTTAATGTATAACTTCACCTTCAATTTTCCTCTACTTTGAATTATTTTGAAGTAAAATTAGATTATTTGTCTTCCCAAGAAACCCAAGTGGAAATTATAGAACTAAAAAATACAATAATAAAAATAAGAAACATGCTGATAGTCTCAGTAGTACAGCAAAGATGACAGAGAATAGAATCTGTGTCTAGTGAAACTATCTTTCACAAATTAAGGGAAAATAATAATGAGATTCTCAGTCAAAGGTGGAAAAAATATCTTCACCTATCAGGCATACCCTTGAAGAATGGCTAAAAGAATTATTTCTGAAATAAAGAAGCTGACAAAAGGAAGGGTCTTAAAGCATTATGGAGATAGAAGGAACAAAAGAAATGGCAGAAATATGAATATATATATATATATATATATATATATAGTTGTCTGCTTTAACTTATGAGTTCTGTATATCATATGTGGTGATTGAAAGAAAAACTACAGCATTCTCTTTTACCATTATCTTCTACTTGAGACAATGACATTTAAATGTTGAGAAGGTAAGTGGACCAAAACGTAAGTGAAATTTACACATATTACTCCAACTAGTAAAATATTGACAGCAGTAGATTGTTATGCTTCACATATTCATCATGGTTTGTTCGGTCTTTTATTTTGCAGTTCTGGGAATTGAACTCAGAGCCTTGTGCAGTGCTTTAAATGACATCTTCTTGTATAAACCACACAGCCCAACAATAGCATAATGGACAATTTCCCCAAGCACCTACAAAATGTGGACTGAGAGAGACCACATACTCGATCATCCAAACCTAAATTTAAAATAAGTGAAATCATACAAATCATGGCATCTCAGTATAATGCGACCAAACACAAACCAGTAATGAGAGCATGAACTTGTAGCTCAGAAGTACAGGGCCTACTTAGCATGCACAAGCCTCTGTTTTCTGGCTTCAATATCACAAAAAGTTACTGAGGTCCCTCAAAATGATTTCTCAATGTACAATATTTCTACCTACATTTTCTGTGTTAAAAATTAAAACAAAAAATTAGAAAAATACACAACACATATTCCTTTAGTCACCAGATCAGTAACATTATTACCTATTATGTAGATTTTGGTTCACTCCAGTACATACTCATAAAAGGATGAATGTGTATAAGAAAACTGACATCTTCATACTACCATGGAATAATTTAGATTTCCCAGTAAGCCCCACCACATACAGTGGTCTTAGGTATAGGACAGTTAACTCATCCAGAGTTTTCCTAGTTTGGGCCTTGAAAGCCCTGGCAAAGCCTTTGCTTCTGACTTGCCTAGTTCTTTAAATAAATGCTCTGTATTCAAGGATGGTTCTCTCATGGGAAATCTGGGTTGATTGTTCTCCATACTCAAACCTTTTAGTGTTCCTGAGTAAAACCATAAGAAGCTGTATATAACATGACCCTTATGTGAATTACCATATATGAAATACCAGTGTTATTATCTCACCATCATCTAGGTTTTGATCATCATCTTGTCATAATTTGTTAGAAAATTATGAGTTAGAAAGTCTTTCCTGTGTCTATTGTCTGCCTCGGGTCTCCTGTATGTTTCATTCTGCTCTCTTCCCCATCTCAGAGTCTCTAAACAAGATGTTTTGTATTTTGTGATGAAAATGCCATCAGAATGTATGTACTACTAATTATCTGATGATTATCTTTTCAGGTCAGGTTAGTATGGTGCAAGTGACCATCCCAAACACTTTCGTGAATGCGACTGTTGGATCTAATGCCACTCTTCTCTGCCTTTATACCACCACTGTGAAGTCCCTGGACAAGCTTACAATCCAATGGTCTTTCTTCCACAATAAGGACACGGAGCCAGTTTCTGTAAGGATTCTCTAACTAAATTACTCCCGCTTAGTAGTTCTCTCTGAAAACTGTTGGGATGAGAATTATGAAGGAACAGTGGAATATGAAGGAGCTAGTGAGAACAATGACAAAATTTGAGACACTGAATTTTTAGATAGCTGTTTAGGGATGGCAGTCTATCTAAATGACTTGGTCTTTGTGTTTCCATGTTTATGTTTGTCTGTTATCTCAATTTTGAATAGTCAGCATCATGTGTACCATGTATTCCAGAATAACCACAGGCTTCCTCATAGGTGAAGTAAGCAGTAGCTTTTAAAGGATATGTTCCAAATATCTCCCTGTTATTTCCAGAAGACTCTAGTTCACATGAAAACCCTAATGAATCTGCCTAATGTAATAACTGGGATCTGCCTGTCAAGGGAATTCACTCATTGTTCCAGATTGAGTCCTGACAGTTTGAGATTCCCCAGATCGATGGAGAAGGGCTGTGGTAGTAATGAACCCTATGTAATCAAGGGCAGCATGAGGTCAGAAGACAAAGGATGGAAGGGGTGGACAAAGGTTTTGGGAGAAGTTGACAGAACAGGGTGGATGAGCACCTATGGGGAAAGATGATTTCACAGGCAAACTGCCTAGCTAGATTTTCCTTGTTTGGCTTTGAGAATTACTCTTTCTGAAAATTATCCCAAGAGCTAAAATCGTATTACATAGATGTGTGTGTGTGTACATCTGTGCACATGTGTATGCAAACACATTTACCATTCGTGCCTCTATACATCCCTTGAAGAATAAGGTCTACTGTTACCAGGTTCACAAAATGATTCGTGACCCCAAATAGTGAAGAGACCAACAACGGTGGTTTGGAATAGTCAGCTCCACCTGAGTTGGGCTTTGGGAGAAAGGGGAGATTTGTTCATTAGGAAGATGAGGGAGGGTGGCCTAGAAGCGGAAGTGGAGGGGAAGGGCCAGGCGGTGGTGACACACACCTTTAATCCCAGCACTTGGGAGGCAAAGACAGGTGGATCTCTGTGAGTTTGAGGCCAGCCTGGTCTATAGAGTGAGTTCCAGGACAGCCAGAGCTACACAGAGGAACCATATCTCGAACCCCCCACCCCCAAAAAAAGAAGTGGAGGGGAAGGAAGGTATTAGCTTGGAGGAGCCACATCTTGACCAGCTAAGCTTCAGCTGTCACTGACACTTTGTAGGTACAGAATTTCTCTACTTGAGATTGTGAACATTTCCTTATCTCTCCACAGGGAGATTCCATCATTGCTACGCTGTATTTAAAGTTAAACAGTTTTGTTTAATATTGGTTATGGTTAGACAATATTGGTATCACTCCCTGCCTCTCCCTCTCTTTAAAATACAATAAAATGATAGTACTCATGGGGAATGATCTGACATAAGGCATATGAAAACACTTGAAAACTATAAAGCCCTCTCACTTTTATCCCATGCAAACATCAACAGCAAGACCATCAGCAGCAAATAATAACACTAATGCTGCCAGTTTCCATCACCCAAAGTGTCCCGATATGTTTGTGTCAACTAAGAAATAATTGCTTTTTCCCACTGGTTATTTTCACTTAAGATGGCAATAATCACATGATCCATTCTTTTAAAACTTTGATTTCTTAGTAGTCTTGTCAACACATTGTCCTTTTCATTTTTCTAGTGGTAGCTGCATTCAGAGAGACCTCAGCATCTTTTGAAATGTCTTGTGCTTGATAGTCAGTTCAAGATGTCCTCAACTTCCTGGAGGCCAAGCCAAGCGAATCTGAGCTCAAGAGTGCAGATTCTTCACTTTGTATGCCCTGATACTGGAATTTACAGAGCCACTCGTGATTGAACTCTGGCTACTTAGAAGCAGGGAGAAGATTGTGACTAGCAATAAACTTTTCTTTGGAAGAGACTGCAGGAGAAGAAGCTTTAGGCAATTGTAGTGAGTTTGGCTGGAGCTTGGGCCTTCTTTTAGAAGAGCCTTTTAAAAATCTTTTGACAAGTATTTGATGAATTGCTTTCTTTACTTGCCAGATCAAATGAAGTTCTTTCCCCTGAGCTGCTAGATCAAATGAAAAATGCTTGAGACCGTTGCAATACCTGTGCTGAGGAGGACAAGGAGGATCAGGGCTGCTTGAGGACAAGGAGGGTGAAAAACACTCACCCAAACACAAACTTTCTTCTCTCCTGTTTCCCCATCTTCCCTCTGCTTACTTACCCTTGCCACATCCCCATCACAGCCCTCTTTGAGTCTCTACTCAAGATAACTGACTTTCCTCTTCTCTTCTTCCCCTTCTTCCCTCTCCTCTCCTTTTCTACCATGCATACATGGGCCTTTCTTTGGGATCAGTTTGGGGTCCCAATAAAAACTTCTGGATGGATGGCAGTTCTGCTCCTCACTCTGCCACCTATTTGCTGGCTGGATGACCCTAGACAAGTCACTTTACTTCTTAGAGATTCAATTTTCCCGCCTGTAAAATGGGGCTACTCACCTATCTTAACAGCTTTAATGAAAAAAATTGAAGGAGATTGTTCTTCTGAAACACTAGAAAGCCTTCTATACTGCAAACATTCAGTGACTATGAGCTATTATCATTAATATCACCATTCATAAAATTGGGTTTCTCAAAATTATCTCATCCATGTCCCAGCTATATCAGAGGGACCAGAAAAACCAGCCCAACAAGGTACACTTAGCATAACTGTATAACTCAGCTATGACAGAGCTCTAGGAATTTCCTAGCCTTGGACCCCCAGTTGCTCTCCCTACCCGGTCCCTAATGGCTGGAGGGAGAGCCCAAACCCTTTTCTCTGCTACTTCTCATTCTTGAGCAGAACTTGTTCAGCTAAGAGTTTGCAGACATCCTGGGTTGAGATAGTATTTTTCAAAATAGAGTTTGGCTTTCACTCCAGGTGGCTTCCCATTTTCATACATTTAAACTTCTGTAGAACACGTTGTAAGTTCATCTAGTGAATGCCAGTAGGATGTTTGCGGATATTAAAAAGAGACCCCTAGGCTGTAGAAGTAGCTTAGTTGATAGTATGTTTGCCTAGTGTGCATGCAGCCCTGTGTTCAATTCCCTAGCACCACATACAGCAGGCATGGTCGTGCATGCCCATAATGCTAGCACTCAGGAGGTGGAAGAAGGTGGATCAGAAATTCAAGGTCATTAATGACTTCCTAAAAGTTCAAGGCCAGCCTGTGATACATGAAATGCTCTCTTAAGCCACCATCCCCCCACATGTATCTGTAATAGAGACTGCTGTTTATAGAACATTCTGTGACATATGGGAGTAAGGTGTTGCTAGACTGACCACTGAGTGATTTAATTCAACTCCTGGGTTGATGTGGCAATATAGCATGTAGCATTCAGCTCTCAGATCCACCCATTTCTGCTCAAACACAGCATGGCTCGCACCCCAACACTGAGGGTATGGAGGAAAAGGCAGTCAGTCAGTGTCTAAAAATGGCGCATGCAAGAGACGCTCGGGGAAGATGTAGCTGGACCTCTCAGGTAAGAAAACCCATTGATGTACTACTAGATCCCTCCACTAAGTGCAGCCTAGGACACTAGCACCTGCCTTAGGAGTGGGATGGAAGGGTTTATGTTTGGTAACAATACAGATCAGTCCAAGCCCTATATAAATCTGGGGAAGTTTGTTTTGTTGTGGTTTGGCTTTTGAGACAGGACCTGTATAGAGTACAGGATGGCCTTGAACTTCGAATCCTCCTGCCTCAGCCTCCTAAGTACTGGGATTATAGGTGTGTATCATTTGTGCTAATAAAAACTAGAAAAGTATGGTCTTGAGAGATGGCTCAGCAGTTAAGAGAGCTTGCTGATATTACAGAAGACCTGAGTTTGATTCCCAGCAGCCATGTTAGATGGCTCACAATTGCCTAAATCCAGGGGACCCAATACCCTCTTCTGGCCTCCTTGGACGCCTTCACTCCCATGCACATAACCACACACAGATACACATGCATATTCATAAATAGTTTTTAAAAAATAAAATAAAACCTAGAGAAGTTTTTTGAGTTCACCTTCTCATGCCCATGCCTAGAACTCTTTCAATCCTTCCCCAAAAGATTCAGGGCCCTATAGTTGCTCTGAGCAAGCTGGTGGCCATCTTTTGCCACATGTCTCTTCTCCTTCTCCTCAAAACCATTGCATTAAACAGCAGTTGACTCTGGGGGATAGTGTTTCTCAGTACCCAGGGCCACATACTGTGTCTCATTGAAGGCCATCTCTAGGGAGGTCCCTTTGGTGCATGGAAAATGCTCTTTCCACAAGTCCTCTGATCCTGAGGACAAAGAGCATCCTTTTGGTCTTCCTTTCAGAAATTTCCTGTGTCCAAAACTATGGACAGCTTCACACCATCCTTCAGGGGGCAATCTCCTCTGAAAACTCACCTGACACAAGCAGGCTACCAAGGAAGTTTGGGGAGATCTGGTGCCCCTCTGGCAATAGATTCTTCCCTTTTCCATCTGGCTTGTTATGCTAGAGCTAGAGACAACACTTAGCCATGAATAAAATGCACACTGATGCGCTTAGCATGGGTCCGTTAGACAGTGCTCCACTAGAGTCCTTACAATAGAAATCCTTCACCATCCTCATATCCATGACATGTCTACACTTTGGACAACTTCTTCCCCAGAACCTAGTGTCTTACATATTTTATGACTTCTTACATTTTTAAAACTACTGTCCTTTCTGTAGGTTATATTATTTCAAATGGTTCGGCAATCTTGGGGTGTGTTTGTGTATTCCATGACTTCAGGAGAATTGAATAATGGAGAGGGCATTGATTTTATTTTTGAGGACCGTCAGCCCTTAGTGACATTTGGTGAGTGCTGGCTTAGAGCTGCTATGCTCTGAAATACATGCCAGAGATCCACACAACCAGTTGTCCCAAATGCTACTGTTGCTGTCAGGGAAGAACACAATAAGTCTTCCATCTCTTCTCACTAATGCTTGTCTAGTCTGGACTTCATTTCTGTTGAAGAAGTGCACCTAAGAAGGGATCTCCCAGTATTTCAGCCAAAAAGCACACACAATAGTCCCTCAAACAGTGGACAGCTCAAGCAAATAACAAGAGAGCCTTTCTTACAGTATTCTGTTTCTGTTGTGTACAATCCTAGCCTTCACAGTACAGAAAGACAAAATTCTGGGCCTGAAACCTTTGCCACTTTCCCGCCCATGTCTAGCTGTTTTAGGAACAATGCTGGAAAGCAAGAAGCTGGAAGGGAGGAAAAGGAAAGAATGTGTGGTTTAGCTGTGGACTCCCGGGCTTCCATATCTCCCAAAGGAACCTGGAAAACAGTTCTGAAAGCTAATGGCATTTAGTAAACCCAACTCTCACTCAAATAGAAAGCAGATGGGATCCTTTCAAGCCTTCTTGCTCCGACATCAAGCTTCTAGTTTGAGAGTGGGTGGCGCAAAATGGAGGAAACAACTGGCTGCCAGCTGCAGCCTTGTGTGACTAGGAACTTGGCGTGGCAGGCAGAGGAAGGCTGCTGTGTAAAGATACCAAGGAGCCTGCAGTGCAGCTGGAGCATGCAGAGTGCACTGTGTGGCCAAACTGTTCAGTATAAATTTTATATCAATATAATATAGATACATATACATTTTAAACTTAACTTTGTTAAGATATGAATGGTCATATAGAGTACTAATTAATTCTAGAAAAATTTACAAACTAGAGGCCGATTTGGCCAGCAGATGTATTTTGGTTGGCTGGGCCAGCATTTTGCTTCCACAAGTTATGCCAGCTCTTCAGTATACCATGGTCCCCTTGGCCTTTATAAGCCTACCCCTACTTCTAGACCCTGCCCCACCTTGTTCTCATATTTCTAATATCCAGCTGGCTCCTGAACCTCAGTGACGTGAACTAAGTGATCTCAAAGAGGATTTAATCACTCATAGGCTTTGGTGACTCTACCCACCGGCCACCAGCATGGCAAAGAGGGCAAGAAGAGGAGACATTGAGAGAAAGCCCTGCTTTCTGTGGCAGGATTAATGTTGTATCTCATTGTGACATCATCAAATGTCATAAAGCAGGGCTGGCCTGTCTCCTCTTGGGAGCAGAGGCACTGGTTACAGGCTTAGGTTGGAAAGGGCTGTCCTGATGGCAGCAGGCCGTGTCCCAGGTAAGAGACTGGATCTCATGCTGCCCGTTACCACGTGAATAGACTTAGTGTTGCCTGCCGTGTAGCAAAGTCCTTTGATAAGTTAAATCTACACCTGTCTCATTTGAATACCTTGAGTTAATTGTAGCTTTCTAGTCAAACACTGCCATGCCAGGGTTAAGTTCAGGAGGCATGAATAAATGAACTATAGGACACTGTGCTTAGGGCAGGAAAAAACGTTTGAGAAAACAAAGAAGAGAGTATGTTGCTTTCACTTTAATTATGCTTATTTTTTAGAAAATTTTCCCTTAAAAGTCTGCTTGTTGGTCTTCCTTTAAAATGTATTCCCTTTCTGTGTAAAGGAGAAGAGCTGTGAATCCCACTAGACAATATCTTCTTTTGGTTTTTCTGACTCTTCTCTTTTTAATAGATTGGGTGGATAAAGAGCTCTGGGCAAGGAATTAGGGGAACTGATTTTACTCCTGTTTAAATTTGTTTTGCTTTTGTGTTTCACCCCTTTTTTTCTGACTGAGGGTGAAATGGAGGACATCATACATGCTTGGCAAGTGCTCTTCCATTCAGTTTCACACCCATCCCTCAACTGTTACTTTTGTGCCATTTTTAAAACCTCCCCTGGCTTCAGTTTCTTCTTTGAAGTGAGGCTAATGAAGTAAATGAAATGGAAAAACCATCTAGAAGCTTTTTTTTATGAAAATAACTTGTCTCATTAGACTAAAGCAATCCCAATTTATGAGACATAAACAGCAGTCGTGGGATGACACACATTTATATTAATTTAGCAAACTGTGTACACAGAATATGTATATTGTGAAGGGAACTCAGCTCTTATTACCTCATCTAGTGATTCCCAAGTTGTAGTCACTCAGGTCCCAGCCTCATAATTTTTGTCATATTTGTGTATCCCTGAAACGATTTTTTAGTTAATGATTTCTATGTTGACTGAGACTTTTAAATTCCTAAAACCTGAGTGTCACCTAAGCAATAATATCCATAACGTTACATATTTGGTATGCTAGATGTGTTCTCTTAAACATATTAACATTAGAGGGTTTTCATGTAGACACCACTGAAAATCAATGTCCTCCTTTGGAAAACATTGCTCCGGCTCCTCGTTCACATGTGGAAACTAAAAGGTTAGAGAGATTAGCTATCTCTGCTTCTTATCACCCAGCAAGTTGCTATGGAGGCATAGTTAGAGGATGCCTCATGTGACTACATCACAGTCAGAGGCAGAGCTGTGGGGAAAACCTAGGTCATGTGACACCTAGGCCAGACTTCTCTCTACCACATCATTCTTATCCTATGTTTGTCATTAATACCTAAGATCCATGCAATTTAATGGAGATGGGAGTAGAATTCAGATATTTCTTTAATCAGTTATCTTATTGTAAAATTTATTTTTTTTAACAATTTTGCTATATGATAGTATCTTTTTATTATTTTTGTATATGTGTACCGTATTAAATCATTTCTTCCCTCCTTTTCCTGCCTTCCTCTCCCATATCTTCCCTTCCACCTTGGTCCCTCTCAAATTCATATGTTTTTCTTTAATTATTATTATTACACATATATGAGTAAACATATAAATACAACCCGCTGAGCCCATATAGTGTTGTGCATACGTGTACATTTTTAGAGCTGGCCACTTGCTACTGAATAACCAGTTAGGGGGCTCATCCCTGGGGAATCCTGATTCTCCCTCTTTCTGTAGCCACTGACTCCTTGTAGCTTTTCTTTGTACAATGTGTTTTGATCCTATTCACCCCCTGCACACTGTTCCCAGATCCATTCCCCTTCCCTACCCACCCAGTTTTGTGTCCTCTCATTTTCTCCCCATCAAATCCAATTTGTGCTGCATATATATTCCTGAACGGGTGGCCTTCCATTGGCATGTGGTTGACTTACCAGTAACCACACTCTTAAAACTGACTTTTCCTCTCCCAGCAGTTATCAATTGCCAATTGCTCCTCAGCTAGGAGGAGTGGACTTCATGCCCACCTTCCCTCTCCATGGGAGATTTGGTCTTGCTTGAGCATGCATGAGAGTGTTTTTAAGGATCATCTTGCTATCTAGCTTAAGTGGTCCTCAAAATCATGGTGCCCCTGCTTCAGCTTCCCAAGAGACTGAGACTACAGGTATATGTCACTGCTTGACTCAAGTCCAGTACATTGTAAATGTAACAACAGCAGCAACAAATGAATCCTGTGCCTTCAGATGAGTCATCTGAAGTTCTGAGTTCCCTTATTTGACATGGAGAGAAAGATTACCATGGACTAACATGGGCCTAGTACACTGTAAGCCTTTTTTACTGGTTTGACTGGTTTTTATCTCACCACAGCCACTAAGAGAGAATGAGACCAACTGATTTCTCAGGGAATAGTCTGCCCTGAAGCTTTATCCTTCTAACAAACAGAATGAATCCAAGTGTGCTTAGCCAAGAGGTGTGTATGCATGAAAGGAACATGAACATTTGAACTTTTAGGGAGAGCAGTCTCAGTGGGCAAGGTAAACTCGAATCAGAAGTTCATATAGTGGTAATGTCTCTTGAGATATATCTCATATGCAGAAGAGTTTCTACCAGGTAGAGTGAGCAGGTGAGTGTCTTGTTTTCCTAGCCCAGGGTTAGAAGTTAAATCCTCTGAATTCCAGTTGTCCCCTCTTCTGTAAAATAGGCTTCCCAATCCCTGCGCTAGTGACATCACAGAGCTGTTGGAGGCAAATGAGGTAATGGCTACCAACAGCAGTCAGAAAGTTAAATGCCCCACTGAACTGAGAAATCTTGGCTACAGGGACCACAGATAGAAGGGACTTCCTGGTAACTTATCCTCATCATGGATACTCTCAGGTTCTCAGTTTTACTATTTTTTTTTACCCTAGATTTTCTACTCTGAAGGTGGACAAGCTTCAGCTATTGGGCAATTCAAGGACAGAATTATAAGGTCGACTAATCCAGGTAATGCATCGATCACCATTTTGCGTATGCAACCAGCGGACAGTGGAATTTACATCTGTGATGTCAACAATCCTCCTGATTTTGTCGGCAAAAACCAAGGCATCCTTGACGTCACTGTGTTAGGTATGGGCATTATTCTCATGCCTTTTCTTCCCACGAAGCAACTTAAGACATCGAATAAGTCAAAGCACTGGGTTATGGTGTCAATTATGTCCCTGGGGCTAATTGTCCTCTCTACTCCTTTTATTATCAAAGACTGTTTTATTTAAGTTTTAGCTTATTAGTAGACATAGTTTTCCAACTCAATCTGTATAATGATACCTAAACATTACCATAAAATGTACAGAAACAGTAGCATCCCTAGCTTGGAAGGATAGAGTGAGACAAATATTGGCCCACCAAATGATCACCAGTAACTCTTTTGGGAGGAACTTGCAATTAGAGCCACACTTAGCTACAAGAAGCAACTGTCAACCTATTTATTCCCTTTTCCAAACCTACCACTAATCTTACCATGAAATCATTTTTTCAAACAAAGGCAGAAGAGTCTACTTCGTTTATATTTATCTCTAATTTAGTTTTGTTTTACTTTGAGGCGGAGTCTTGTGGAGCCATAGCTAGCCTTGAGCTTGCTATGTGACTGACTTTTTATCTTGACTTTTGATCAGAAGGACTCTCTTTTTAAAAATGCTAATGCTATTTGGAAAAATGTTACTTGTTAAGCCATTATTAAGAATTAAGTTATGAGGAACACATATTTCTTGTATGACACTGGAAAAGTCACATTTGCTCTCAAAATAGACTTGGAACAGTTCATTTGTTCAGGATTTGTGGTGTCCCTACTTTGTGGAAGGAAATAATAGCTTAGTAGTGATGGAGATATGGCTTCTGCCCTTGAGGAGTACTCAATTTGCTTGATTTCTGGGGATCTTTCAGACTCCTGAGAACCCAGCAGGGGCTAAAGACCTATTTGCAGACTCTAAAGTAGAAAGTATTAGAGGGAAGAGGAAAAGGCTTGAAGCCCTTCCCAGCAGCCCAAATGGATATGCATCATTGGAAAGGAAGCACTAGGCCAAATCAGTGACTAGCTAGTTAAGTTGTTCAAACAAACAACAAACGACAACAAGGTGCACATCTCCGAGAACTATCCTCAGTTGCCTTGCTACCCATGTGATTCTAAAAGGAACCAGTTGATGCTTACTATGAGGTGTGCCATTGCATTTACCCTCCGAAAAGAGAGGGAAGTGTTGCTCCGGGGCTAATGTTTAAGAAAGGGTTTGCTCAGTCAGTTGTGTTTTGTTGTACTGAGTCTTGTGCTCAGTATGGTGTAGGAATAGATGCACCTATTCCTAGGACAGCTTATGTGGCAGTTCAGAAGATCAGTCTTTTGGGGAAAAATAGTGTGGCAAGATTGCCAAAAACCATGAGACCGAAAAATCAGTAAACTTAGGTTCTAGGCCTTTTTCTGTTCTCAGTGACCTCATACAATGCAGGCCACCATTGTAAGATAGGTTTTAAGTCTGTCTTCTTTACTGATTTATTATGAGAATCCAATTAGGTGCTGGGGATTAAAGAGCCTTTTAATGTTCAAGTAATTTGAGGGATTAATCTTCTAATGATTTTCTGTTGCCCCTGTGTCTCTGGGGTGATCTGAGCAGAAGCAATTTTCATGAAAAGGCTTGGAAATAGCCCTGAGATAAGCTAGACAAGAAGGTTAATATTCTTAACTTGGAAATTCAGAGGATTCCCAGTGAATTTCCACAAGCTAAAGATAGCTTGAGCTAGTCTGTTTTTGGTTTTGTTTTCTATGAGTCTTTGGGTCAGATAAGTCTTGCCATGACTTCATCATGCTTTTTCTTGGAGCAGCCAGAATCCATAAAATGAAGATACTGAAAAATTTATGGCTTTCTTTCCACAGAAATACTAAAAAATTCTATTCTTATTAATTCAGAAAAGAACAAAATTATCCTATGAATTTCAACTTTCCAGAAATTAGTGATAGTAAATAATCTCTAAATTTTCGAAGTCCGTTTTCAGTTCTTGAATCCCATTGCATATGAGTACCCAGATTGGGCCTGGGCAAAGTAGAGATGGGAGGGCCAGGGGGACCAGTTGTAGGGAGAGTTACTGATGCTCCACTGAGGAAGGCTCTTTATAGCACTACATTTTCAAAATCTCTTTATTGTAATGAACTCACAAACAACAATGCCACACAGCTAGATTATGGTAACCACTGAAACACTTGCTCTGGCCCAAACTCAGTGCAACCCAATGAACGTATGAAAAGTTAGAATGGCCATGCTTAGGCCTTTCCTCTTTCACTGTCAGTTACGTTTTTATGAACTTGTTAACTATAAAAAAATCTATGAGAGAGTTGAAACTAGAAGAAACAATTAGCTTTACATTCTCTTTTATGATTCGTGTGTTCTTTTGCCTGCATTCCATCCTTTCTCATCACCTAATAGTACCCTTTCTTGGTCACCTTTCTAAATGCTACACTACACCCACAGGTATGTTATGCAAAATGTTATACTACATCCATAATGCATATATGTTTATAGCTAAACAGCTGTGAACATGGGCAGAGTACAGCAATGCATCTTTGGGAGACATTCCTCACCCAGCATGGCTATCAATCACGTGTATTTGCTTTGCATTCAAGAGTTCCTTAATCAAAGCCTGAGAACATGCTTCAGTTACTGTTCTAAGCAATGGAAATAGTAAGCTGTAAAAGATAGGGTCCCAGCCCTCCCAAAACCCAATCTAGTGAAAGAGACAGATTGTATGAAAGCTTTCAGTAGGAGGAAAGCTGTGAAGGCATGGGGAAGCTACAGACAGGAACTAGAGAAGGCTTCTCGGGGAAAGAGACTTCTGTGCTGGTTGAGGAAGGATGCTCAAGAGTGTGTCAAGCAGAGCACAGGCTGAAATGGCAGGGTACAATTCAGGTGAAGACAGCAGCAGTGGGCAAAGAAGCAGGGGGTTTGGATGGCCATTCATTTAAGAGCTTTCCATTAGTTATGACAACCCTGGAAAATCAATCTCTGAAAAATACCCAGATAGACTCTGAATAATTATTATGTGTACATTTGGAATGAGCACTATCTCCATTCTGCAGTTTGGCACATAAAAATTATTAATTTAGAGGAGCTTTGTGAACACACAGAAGCATTTTCATTTATCTTCTGAGATGAGCCTTTTCCTTCCACCCCAATTCTGATGAAAGCAATAAAGCCAACGGGTAGATCAATGGCTTAGCCAGTAAAACATACTAGCTCTTTGGGGGTATTTTAACTGGATGAAATGTCAGCTCAATTCTGATTCAGTAGTTTTAGAAGATATATAGGTTTGCAGCTTGTCTCAAAATGAGTCACCTAGTGTTTTGTTCCTAATAAAATATATGGAGAGATAGAAGGAGAAAAAGCACAAGAAGAAGAGGCCTAATCTGGATTTAAATCTAGACTCGGCGAATGAGTTATTCTAGGTTGCTGTCTATAATTTAGTCCTAGTGCCTGAGGTTTAATGTTGAAATAACCATGCTTTTCTGTTCAGATTGTTCTGTTCTTATTCAGGGACTATAACATTCAGACCATTTTTTTAAAGACACTAAGTGTGATCATGGCTAGATGGCCTATTTGAAGGTAGCTGAATCAAGTTTTTCCCATCTCAGAAAGCCATTGATAAGGAAGAGAGGATGGAAATCTAAATAAAAAATGCTCTAAATCAGATGATACCAGTTTTCAAAGGATAGTGAAACATTTTGAAGAGTTGTGCTTATACACACCCGTCTCCTTCATGTGTACAAGGGTTTGAGTCTGAGAAGGGTTACCAGAGCAGAAGCTGTTAGAAGATTGATTTCAATAGCAAAAATTAGTCCAGTCCATAGCCAACAACAATTCTGCGTGTAAGGCCCTGTTTGTGGTATTTTCTTTCGGCTGGCCAGAGGTTAGATCATTTCTTACTCATATTTTATAGATGAGACAGTTTGAGGTTTAGTTGTCCAAATATCTATAGGGTTAAATTGGAGAGCTGGTGTTCTGTGTGGATCCAGATCTGTGATCATGTGTTCCAGGAGAACCAAAGAGTAGTCTGAAGCATTTAAGGTATAAATTCCATAAGTTAGAGAGTGTTAGCTGCTAGAGGGATGGTTTTTATAATCCAATTTAAGAAGATCTGGGTATGGTAGCATATGCCTGTAATTCTAGCACTTGGAAGGTAGAGGCCAAATGATCATGAATTGAAGGTTTATCTCCAGCCATATAGCAAGTTCAAACCCACAAACTAACCAACCAACTAACCAGCCAAACGTAAAAGAAAAGGATGACTGTTAATTGGAAAGCAAAGAACGTACGATAATCATCTGTGTAAGTTATTAAGAACAGACTAACGGCACAAAGTAAGGAGAATGGGGAGACTGTGATTCACAGCTACTCACAGAACTTCTCCATCCGGGTATTGTCATAAACAGCTGAAAAACCAGCATGTTCCAAACTGCCCCCAGTATCACTCCTTCCTCCTCCTCCTTTCCTTTAAAACATGTTCTTCTACATGAATTCTTTCTCTTGGGTGGTGGCGGGATCATGGACACAATCAGAAGCCTGGGAATCACCGTACATCTTACCCTCTTCGTCATCCTCCGTAGGTATCTGCTCACTAGCTCCTGTGACTCTATTTTCTTCATACCTCTTGAGTCACCTTTCCCTTGGTTCAGGAACCCTCAGTATCAGAGAGAGCTCCATGTGAAGTATTAGAAAGACCATCATTATTACCTTTTCTTAAGTTCCTTCCATGGTCTCCCTGTTCCCAGTGCAAAACATGTATACTATAGAGCCATCCCTGACGCAGCCCCCAGTGCTCTGTGATTTCATCTCTCACTACCCTTAATCCCACTTCGGAAGTGACAACGTTGCTGTTGAATCTGCGGTGCCTAGTCCAGTGCTGGGTAGACAGAAGACACATAGCTAAATGCTTGTGGAGTGGCAGAAAAATCAAGACTACATCATCATATAGCACGGATGCAAAATGGGTCTCCTCTGCTGAGGAGGGACACAGGCAAATTCAAACCTTCTAGCAATTTCGGGTCAGCTATAGATGAATAAATGAAAAACTGCCTTAGCCTCACAAAGAAATAGGAAAAAAAGGTAGTATTAATGGAATATTTTAAAAGAATTTCTAAAAAGGTTTTATCTCAAAGTATTTAAGGGCTCTGTTTTCATTTAAGATGGCTTTTTAAAACACAAGCTATGTTTCTACTCAGAGTTTGCTTACATTTGGCTGTTTTAATAAAGGCATATTTTAGGATACAATGAGGAAATGCATGGTTATAAATCCGGGGAAGAGGCAGACAGAAGAGACACTATTTGAATCCTAATGGCTTCCTGACTAGATGGTCCCTGAAGCTGCAGTGCTCTACTGCCATCTGGTGGCCCAACCAGAAAACTGCCCCCAAAAGGTTTTTAAAGAATAAAATTAAATAAACATAAGTTCTGTACAATGAACGCAAGAAAGTGGCTGCCAGTGTCACAGAGTGCCATTTTCTTGCAGGAATCTTACTTCTTGTTATTGCCTTACAGTCAAACCTTCCAAGCCCCTTTGTACCATCCAAGGAAGACCAGAAGCAGGCCACCCTATTTCCTTGTCTTGCTTCTCTGCCTTTGGAACGCCATCTCCCGTGTATTACTGGTATAAGATTGAGGGAAACACCATTGTGCCAGTAAAAGAAAATTTCAGTGAGTATTACCTTCCATAACTGCCGGCCTGGCCTGGTGATTGGGTCACTTAACAGTATGTGATGCTGGATGCCTGTCTGAAGTTCTCAAGCATCTCTTCCCTTGATGTCGGTGTGTGTATGTGTGTATGTGGAGTGGAGATGTGCTTAAAATGATACTCATCTGCTAACATGATGATTGTGATGTGTCTGCTTCCCAGAGTCTAGAATTCAGCTGAGAGGTGGTGAATATGGAGGGTCTTTGGTAGGCTACTTGTAGAGCATCGCAAGAGACCTAGTTGGATCCTATTCCTCTCAAGAGAGGCCATTGTAAGAAAGCAGGTGGGCTTTAAACAGTGCAAACTGACATGACAAGAGATCTTAATGATCCGTTTTCTGGTTTTGACAGACTCGGCCACTGGAGTTTTGGTTATCGGAAATCTGACAAATTTTGAACAAGGTTATTACCAGTGCACTGCCATAAACAGTCTTGGCAATAGTTCCTGTGAAATTGACTTAACCTCTTCACGTGAGTTGACCATACGGCTTTCATACTTTACCTTTCAGTTAAGTAGCCTGGGTCTACCAGTTGAACAGATTTATTAGGATCTCTCTTTAGTCCTTCCTGCCTCTGGAGATTCCTGTGCTTTATTGGTAAGTTGATATGATGAATGGCCATCCAAATCTCTCATTTTTACATAATAATCTGTTCCCCAAATTGTTCGCCAAGTAGTTTACTTAAGCACCACACAAACCTTAGAAAGTAGGTAATAGTCTTTGACAAATCAAAACAGCAGTATTATTAACAGTCTAGGATGCTCTTTCTCCTGCAGTTGATAAATGCAGCTAGCCCCTCAGCTATCTTTTTCAAATATACAACTTACAGACTTCCTGCTTCTTGACTGCCTTATTAAGATCGGCCTCTAGAAACCACAGGGAGACACTTCAAGATAAGGCACAGGCAGGACTTTCTGACAAGGACTTTGGTAGACCAGGAAATAATAGCAAGAACTGATAAATGAGCTTGCTCTTTCATGAAATCTAAAAGCTTTTGCACAGCAAAGGAAACAACAAATTGAATGAAGAGGTAACCTAGAGAATGGAAGGCAATCCTTTACAGCCATTTGGCCAACAGAGGATTGACACTCAAAATAGATGAAGAACTGAAAAAAAATTAAACACAAATAATCTAATCAATTAATCAATAAATAGGCAGATGTTTTGTACAGACAGGTCTCAGAAGAATTACAAACAGGCAACAAGTGCATGAAAAAAATGCTTAGTGTTTTTCACCATCATGGAAATGTCATCAGAATTATGGTGAACTTCCATTTCACCCAAGTCATATGACTGTCATCAAGAAATCAAACAACAAATATGGGCAAAGATACGCAGGAAAAGGAACCGTTATATGCTGATGGTGGGAATGTGAACTAGAGAAACCACAATGGAAGTCGGCATGGAAGTTCCTCAAGAAACTAAAAATAGAATTGCCGTATGACCCAGCTGTATCACTTCTGGGTCTATAACTAAAAGAATTCAACTCAGCATGCCACAGAGATAGCGGGATAAATGTGTTTGTTTCAGGGTTCCAACACCCAAGTTATAAACTCATAGATTGCTATCACCTAATGAATGGCTAATGTAGAGTTTTATTCATCCATAAATGAACACTCCAGTTCAGTAGCATTTTGTTGTTTGCAGGAAAAGGGAAGTGAGAATTACCATATCGAGTGAAATAAGCCAGATCCAGAGAGACAAATATCACAAGTTTTCTTTCATAGGCAGAATCTAGATGTGTTAAGAAAACATGAAAGTTGAAGAGGGCTCTTAGGGAAGAGAAAGGGACCAGTAGGAGAAGACTAGAAATGGAACGAGAGGAAGCAACAGGGATGTGGATATGATCCAAGTTACACGTATACATGCAGGAAAACATATTTATACCCATAATTCAATATCCATGTTCTAGTGAGAAGTAAAACCAAAAGTTTAAAGACAAAATCTGCCTACAGTAATAACCAGGCAGTCTCATCTACAATCACAATATCTAGTGATTGCGGTTATTACTATTAGTATTAAATTATTTCCCAGACACTTGGCCAGGTGTTACATGAGCAATATCTCACTCGACCACCCCTACTACCCTGTTTATGGAGGCAGAATAAATATATTGTAGGTCTTATTTTCCTGGAGGGACACTGAAGCTCAGGGAGGTAAATGACTTGCTCAAGTTCATCCTGTTACTAACTTGCAGAGCTGGGATGCCTCTAAGTCTCAATCTTCCTGCTGAAAGGCAGTGATTTGCTCTCTGAGTTTTATACTTAAGAGCCTTAGCATTGACAGATTAGGCCAACCCTGGGACAAGCCCTCATGAGGGATGTCTTGCCAAACCTCTTAGGGACCACTTGACAATACTTAGAGTCACGTTATCTGCCCTCCATTCTCATCACTTTCAGCTCTTTCCTATGGCCCTCTCTGTTGTCTTTCTTTATTTCTCAATTGGTGTCTGCTCAGTAAGAGATAGACTCACACTGCAGATGTTCAGCCATGTAAGGTTAGTACTCAAGTCTTCTTTCCAACCATCTCCAGCGTTTTCCTGGCTTTCCTTCCTCCCTCCCTCTCCTCTTTCTTCTTGCCTCCTTTCCTTTCTTTGCCCTCCTGTCCTCTTCTTCCTAAGTCACCCATTGGATATCAACTGTGGATCATCATAAGGGATGCAGAGACAGAAGTTAAGAAGAAATATGTCTTTCACTCAAGGAGCTCCCCATTCAGCTAGAGGGCCAAACAATGACTGTGTGTGCTAAATGCTACATTATAGATCGACACAGGTGTAGACACCAAAAGAGGAACACTTATGGTTACAGGTAAGAGGAACACTTATGGTTACAGATAAGAGGAACACTTATGGTTACAGATCTGGAGCAGCTGTGCTGACCAAGTACTATTTGAGCTGGCACTTGGAGGCACTAGCAAAGGCTATTGTTTCTGTCAAATGGAGAGGTTGGATGGGGAACAAAAGCAGAGCAGCAGCTGTAGAAAGACAATTGGCTCATGGTGAAGGAAGAGGAGGGAGAGCCACAGAAAATATCACTCGGAAATGGAACCACAATAAAGAGAGAGCTGCTGTTTGAGTCTATTGAAAGGAATTTATTATTTCCTCCCAATTTCAAAACTAGTGATAATGTATTAAAAACTAAACAAACCCCCAAATGAGGCAGCTAATAACCTTAGGGAAAACATTTTAAAATGCTGTACAACAGAGAATCCTAGGATGGATGTTTCTGAGTTGTGAACAGTATTTAATTTTCATACGTTTAATATTTAATTAAAAGTAGCACTATAATTGTATTAGGAGAGTGTGGTGGGAGATGAGGAGTGCTCGGAAATTCAGAAAGGAATAATGAACATGGGGAAAGGGAGGGCCATCTAAGAGCAAGCATAATAGAAATATGGAGGCAAGAGCAGTTTTGGAAATGTCCCAACAGTGGTTGGAGTGGGTCAAGAAAATGCTGTTTTGGTAAAAATTTAGAATTATTTAATTGTTAAAGTTATTCACATGTGTTTTGTTTAATTTCATTGTTTTATATTTCAGTCCTTTTCACTCTGCCCATCCCCCTCTCTCATTCGCCTGTGGCCCACTAGAACGCATCTCAACAAGTCCCCTCCTCCTTTCATGTCTTCTTTTTATGTGTAGCCTGCTGACTTTAGAGTTTCTTGCCTAAGCATTGGTGGGAGATGATTTGCTGGAGTGAGGTCCGTTTATCAATGGATACACCACTGAAGAAAATGACATTCCTTCCTCCAGCAACTGTTGATTGCCAGTGGTCTCTCAGAGAGGGGTTGAACCTCATGGGTCCTTCAGTCATCCATGACGAAATGTTAAAGGGCCCTCATTTTGTGCAGACAGTCACAGCTGTGATGAGTTTGAGTGCAGCAGCTGTGCCATACCCAGAAGACATCTTTCGACTGCTTCTCTCCCCATCCTCTGGCTCTTACACTCTTTCCATCCCCGCTTCTACAGTGTTCCCAGAGCCTTAGTGATATAGCTGAGTTGTCCTATTTAGGTTTTTTTGAGACAAGTTCTTTCCATGTATATAGCCCAGGCTGGTCTCGAACTCCCGATTTTTCTGCCTCAGCCTTTTGAGTGCTAGGATCACAAACATGCACTGCTGTGCTCAGCTACATGGATTCCTTTAATCATAAGAAGGTGAAGGACTTATTATGTAAACTTAGTTTCTCCTTTCAAAATATAAACTGTTGATCCTTGTTTAAGGGGAAATAGATGGGTATGGGCTGGCTTATGACCCAGACATGTTCTGTCAGGGACGACACTTCCGGACTTGGAGGTCTGGTGCTCAGCTGGATTGTCTCACACTCATTCAATTTTTCCATAGACTGATGTAATAAACCAGATGCCTGTTTATCCAGATGGCCATATCCTTTCCCAGTGGCTAGAATGCAGGCAGCTCTTTCATGAGCAAGGAGTGTGTGGAGAAGCTTTTTTTATTTCACTTACGTCCTAGGAAAGCTGATGAAATGTCCTTGCCTGTAACGGAGCATGTTTCTGGTTTCCAGATTGCCATGACATGTCTCTGGCCACATAAATGCACACTGAAAACTTTATTCCCTAAATACTGCTTTAAAAACAAACTTGCCTGCCAAGTGGCCATATTTTTCTTCACTTGTATACATGTCAGCATTAAGCTACACAGCCAAGGGCCTCATACTTTTCATCCATCAGGATCTAACTAGCAGAATTCTGGGAGTTTCTATCCCCTCCACCTATACCTGTCACTTTCTTGCTTTGTAAGTGTTCTGGGTCGTTTTCACCAGTCTCAAATGCATGTATATGAGAAGAAAATGTGTTCTGATTTACCAGCTATCCGTCTGTGTCCTTCAGATCCAGAAGTTGGAATCATCATTGGGGCCTTGATTGGTGCCCTGATAGGTGCTGCTGTCATCATCTCTGTGGTGTACTTTGCAAGGAACAAAGTTAAGTCACAGCAAAGGAAGAGGGACTTAACCCCCAGCACGGAACTTGAGTAAGCCTTTAGTGACCTACGTTCACACTGCCATTGCTGTCTTTACTTGAATACAAGCACTCCTCTGAAGTAACTTTCAATAGCCTCTCCCTCAGCACTCCTTCAGCATAGCATAGCAAGGTTAACATTCTGCTTGCTCTCACTGCTTTTACCAAAAGCATGATTGAGCCCGGCTAGCTCAGTCGGTAGAGCATGGGACTCTTAATCCCAGGGTCGTGGGTTCGAGCCCCACGTTGGGCGCCAAATGTAGATGTAACCAACCGTCTTATTAAATAAGAAACACAGAGCCGATTGATTCAGAGAAGAAAGCCAAGAGGTCAGAACTAAGAGCCTTACCCTTCCTGCTTCAGCCAAGAGAGCCCTGTGTTCTGGACTCTGTTTTAAGCATTTATATCGACTAATTTAATCATCACAAAAGTCCTCTGACCTTTTTAGGTCAGAGACAAAATGTTTTAAGATATAATATTAACATATTTATCTTCATACCAACATGACTGTAAACATAATCATGAATTTTTTTTCAGTTCCTTTATTTTTAAAATTAATTTGTGATGGTCCCTCTGGGGGAAAAAACAAGCATGTTTTAATGTAACGGGAGACCTATGAAGACAAAAGTACATAGGGCCCGGGGAAATCAGAATTTGGTTGGCCCATGGCCTGTGCTCTTAGCTATACTGCAGTCTCTTCGGCAGTGTGGATAATGCTCATCCACTTGCTCACCCTTCCCTTTCTTTTTACATTTATTTTTTGAGATTATAATTACATTTTCTCCTTCCCTTTCTTCCATCCAAATTTTCCCATATCCTCCTCCTTCCTGCTCTCTTTCAAATTCACAGCTTCTTGTTTCATTAATTGAAATTGATGAAACAGTAGCAAAGTTACAGTTATAAAGTAGCAGCAAAAATAATGTTATGGTTGGGGGTCACCACAACATGAGGAACTTTATTAAAGGTTTTTCTGGTAATCCTGTCTTATAAACCAATTGTATTTAGGGATATGTATGTATATCATTAATAATGTACATATGTATCCCTGAATACAACTTGCTCAGTATGTATAATGTTACCTGTGTTCCCGTTTTTGTGACTGACCACTTGGTATTGGATAACGAATTGGTGTATCCTTCCCTGGATTTAATTTAATTTAATTTTTTATATTTAATTGATTTAATTAATTTAATCTAATTGATTCCACAAATACGTTTTCTATACCAATCAGGAGCCAAGTCTTGTACTAAGGAGTTGGAGACACAGATACAACTGAGCCATGGCTTTGACCCTCAAATACCTTATTAGCGTCTCAGATTCTTTATATCAGTTTTCCACCTTTTAAATGCTGGCGTGTCTTTCTTGGACTTTCATATTGTTGAAATCTAAACTTTCTAAACTCCAAAATAGACACATGTGGTCTGACAGCAAGTGAAAATATCAGAATGAACAGATGGCCTAAATTATTGGTTCTCAACCTGTGGGTCACGACCCCTTTGAGGGTTGCATATCAGATATTTACATTACAATTCATAACAGTAGCAAAGTTACAGTGATGAAGTAGCAGCAAAAATAATGTTATGGTTGGGGGTCACCACAACATGAGGAACTGTATTAAAGGGTCACAGCATTAGGAAGGTTGAGAACCACTGGATTAGGGCCTATTTGTCACTAAAGCTATAGTGTATAGTGTCATGTGAAATTTCCAAGTTTGAAGGTCCCTGATGTTTTTCTGGTAATCCTTTCTTATAGACCAATGACAAAGGCAAGCCATTCCCGAGACAATGAAACGATTCCAGCTGAAAACATCCAGCTAGAAGCCACTCTGCCATCTTCCATCCATGATGCCCACAACACCGAACCGACTACCACCATTGTAGAGCCAGACTATGAGCCTAACCCCCAGCTTGAAAGTGCCACACAGCCTGATCCTGAACCAGAGCCTATGCCAGCGTCTGAGATGGAGATTCAGCTAAAGCCAGAGCTGGAGGTGGAGCTGGAGACAGAGACAGAGCCTGAGCTCGAGTCTGAGCTCGAGCCTCAGTCTGGAATTATAGTTGAGCCTCTGCGTGAGGAGGAAAAAAATCCAGTTAAGGCATAGGCATAGATAGGTATGGCCTTAAGTGTGGTAGTTCTTACTTAGGAACCTATTCCTGGCCTTTAAAATTCGGTGGACTTAACCAGCCTCCAGTTTGTCCTTCCATCACAGACAACCCTCATCTAACAACGTTGCTCATACTCACCATTAATCCAAAATAATAAAGGCAACTACTAAAGAAATGTACAGGTTTCTTTGTTCTTAGTATAGATTACTTAAAACTGTACTAATGCATAAACATAACAAATGACAAAGCCAGGATGAATGGTTCATTTCTAATTCAGTTGGAAAAGCATTTGCAAAAGTATGTTCTGTATTTTGTAGTCACTCTTTTTCATGGCTCACATGTGCACACAATATGATAGAGTTCATTTGAATATTAATTTTAGGATTAGTTGTCTTCTCTGTTCATTTTTTATATTTACCACTAAGGAAACAATATGACACCATTGGCTTGAAAATTAGAAAAAAAAACATTTCCCCAAAATAAGAGGGTATGTATCAGTTGGTATATACAATTTAAAACTAAGTCTTACAATTTATCATATTAAATCTTTATTAAATCACTTCAGTGTCAAACACTTGGGCATAGCAATTTTTTATAACTTATTTTTTTCACTGCCAAGTGGTGTACAGGCAAACAATTTAGAATAAACTTTTTCTTGGTGAACATAAAGTGTTGTTATTGGAGGCAGTTTTGAATATGCCTTTGAATAAGCTATTATGTTATCACTGTCGGATGCTATCTGTTTAGGCAGTAGGCTAGGATGGTGTTCTCAGTGAACACGGTCTATTTTAGATAATCTAAACTGGCAATTTAAATAATCGGTTTTATTATTTCTGTAGTCCATGTTAAGAGAAGCAACACTCTTATAAATGATAAACAATAAGTAAATGCTTTGATAAAATCCTTTCTTCACTTTCAAAAAGCTTTTCCATGATCATATTTCACTGACACCTCACTCTGAAGAAATTTACAGGTAGATTTACTTTTTTTACTTGTATAATCAATCATATCTGAAATATTATTTTAAGGCTCAATAAATAATACACAATAAAATCTTATTTAGTGATTACTAAGATTCTTTTTTAATAACTATTGGCATATAATTTATGTACTATAAGCTATATCCATTTTAACTGTACAATTTGGTGAGTTTTAACAGTTGTACACACTCATGGAACTACCTTATCTATGCAGAACATTTCCACCAGCCCCAAATGTTTTCTCATGTCCTCTTTTATAATTCCATTGTGCCCTGGACCTAGATGACCACTGATCTGTTTTGATCTCTTAAAGTTAGCTTTTCTTTTCCCCGACCTTTATATGAATGGTATCATATAGTATGTACTTTTATATCTGAATTTCTTCTCAACTAAATACTTTTCAGTGGCTCTCCATCACATCTAGGATTTATGTAAAGGATTCCCTTGACTAAACTATCTATCTATCTACCTACCTATCTATCTATCTATCTATCTATCTATCTATCTATCTATCTATCTATCTAATGCCCATTTATTTTTTTATTTTTTATTTTTTTTTAACTTTTATACTTTTTTTTATTTTGCAATACAATTCAGTTCTACATATCAGCCACATAATGCCCATTTATTAATTGAGATAGACACTACATACCTTTTAAGGTGAAGTAAACTAATGTTTATTACTTGTGCCACATCATGAAAAGAGACAGAAAGCTTTACTTGTGTATTTTCTTTGATGTGTCAATTAGTAGCTACTCTTGGGGATTTCTGAAGCACCAATGTTTCCATTAACAGGTGAAATATAATGCAATGCTATAATATAAAGTGCCTGATGGGTATAGGACGAAAACTGCTGAAGGTCCTGAGAATGACCTAAATTTTAGATATTGTAAATTAAATACCAAAATTACCAAAATGGCTAAGTAGCTGAAATTTATTTTTCTTTTTCTTGCCCATTTCTATTATGGGGTAAATCACAGGAAATGAGATTGGCCTGTAATAGTCAATAACCATAGGGCCAAATTTCTGATGGATCAGTGTTGACTAGGAAGGCTGCCACTGTTGGTGGTTTTAAATAGTCCTGTACTTACTAGAACTGTTCCATCTGAATACTGATGAATAGTTGATTAATGATTTTTTCACATTTTTGAGATTACAGATCACCTTGTGAGTCTGCTGAAGACTATGGACCCCTAGCTTTTGAAAATGCTTATACACATAAGATGTCACATACAGTTGATTTATGTTTTTAATACAGTATTTTTTATTATTTGGGGAATTCATAGAATATGAAATATATTTTAATAATGTTCACCCCTTTTTCCTCCCCCAAATGCTTCCCAGATCCACCCTCATCTCCCCTCTCCTCCTAACTTAATGTCTCTTAAAAAAACCCACTAAGTCCAATTTGTGCCGCCTATATACTCCTGGGTGTGAGGCCATCTATTGGAGTATGGTCAACCTACTAGAAGCCACACCCTTAAAACTAAATCTCCCTCTCCCAGAAGCCGTTAACTGAAGGTCTTCAGTTAAAGATGGGGGCTCATGAGCCCATTTCCCCTTTATGCTAGAATGTTGACTGATTTCAGAATTGCTCTTGCACAGGTGTTGTGCAGGTAACCATAGCTGTTGCATGTAGGTAACCATAGCTGTTGCATGTTCATGAATGCAGTGGTCTTATCATATCCAGAGGATACAGTTTCACTCCAGGCTTTCCCGACCTCTGGCTCTTACAATCTTTCTGTTCCCCTCTTCTAATACGGTCTCTGAGTCTTGGTATGGTTGATTTGGACATCCCATTTGTAGTGAGCATTCCTGTCCTCTTATTAGTTGTGGGCTTCTGCATTAGCCTCATGCACTGCACAAAGAAACTTCTCTGATGAGGTATAGGAGCTGCACTAATCGGTGGGTAGACAGATACATATTTAGAAGGAAATTTGATATTATATCCACTTAGCAAAATACTAGTAGTAGATCTACCCCTGGAGTGGCAGGACCAATTTCATTTCTCCATGTCCTCTGACTAAAGTGTTATGGTATCTTCAACAATAGGGTCTTACCATTGAGTTCTCATTGGCAGCCAAGATCAGGGTGTCACATAGAGTTTTAATAGTCTTATAGAATCCATGAGCCCAAATATTGACAGTTAACTTTAATATCAACACAGAAGGCACAGTGAGTAAATTTGTGGATGATTTTCTCCTGGGGGATTTGAATGCCTATTGTGCTGTATGACAAAACTGATTCAAAATGATTTTGGTGGCTTGGAAAGTCATTGAAGTCAACAAAAGGAATTATACAGTAGTGTAAGGAAAAGCCAGAATTTTAAAATACAGAGTACATGTTGTCCATGTGAAAACCCTAGCATTTCAGTCTTGCCTGTCAGTCATCTTCCTGGCCTTTGTGGAACTGTGAGTATCCGTACTCCTGTTAGCTTAGGGAACTCCTTGGGTGCTAATCCCTTAGGCAAGATTCAGCTATCAGGAATTACATCCTTCCTTACCACCTTTTCAGTTGTGGTTTCTCTGTAACTCTTCTTGTCTGATGAACATGAAATTTCATTATCCAGTGATTGAATTCAGGTTGATGAATAAGTTAATCATCTCAAGAAGTATTTGCTTTTTTGAAAAAAGGAGAAACCAGAGAAGGAAGATGTATTCAGTGTAGCTACTTTGAGAATAGGTACAAAGAGATCTAGCAAATCCCCCAAGTTTGTCTCTTCAGGGTCTTGAAGTGAAGTGAAAATTTAAATGAAGGGACACACGTCTTAAATTCATATATATACACATTGAAGCATTCTGTATCAAGGTGTGGTCTTGTCTATGATTGGCTCATCATTGGACTTCAGTCTCATCCTGTAAGGTGTTCTGCTATATTGTTAGAACTATATGAAATCTCTTTCTGGGAAAAATACTCTCCCTCTGGCTGGACCCTTTTCCTTCCTTCCTACAACATAAGATTCCTGGGAAAATTCCCAGAAATGTCTTTGGTGTCCATTGCTTCAATAGTTTGAGAGTCAGGTTGAGAGACACAAGTGTCTCTAAAAATACTTTTATTTCTGCTAGGCTGGTTATAATTCCCCACTTTCTGCCTTAATACGTCCACCTTGAGGTAGAATATGTCTGTGTCTGAAACAAAATAAACTAAATAGGGACCAAGGCTAGAACACTTGTTAATGCTAGGTAGCCATACATAAAAAGCATTTTTCATAACCTCTTTACTTTTTGTTATTTTTGAAAGGGCTGGCATAAGCAGCTCCAGCTTGTTGATTTGAGATAGGGGCTCATCATAGGTTGGCCTTAAATTTATAGTCCTCCTCTTTCAGCTTTCTAAGTTCTGGAATTAGAGGCAAGTGCTTCCATGCCCACTGAGACTTTACTTTAGTTCTCTCAACTTCTGCCGTTGTCTCTGAACAAAATTATCTGAAGACATTGCTAATTAACCAACTACTGGTTTGCTCTCCATAGTCCCATGATTTCAGGGAGAGATTTGTCCTGGTTGGACTGATTTGATCCCACATTAGGGGAGTAAATAACAGGTATCAAGGACTTAGTGCCAATAATCCCTCTAAGCCCAATTTAAGGAACTGGGGTATAGAAGCAGTGTCTTAGGTCAGGCATACCTGAAATCCATTCTGCTTGTCCTGTAGGTAACGTCCTAGCATCTCAACTGTGCTGTTTATGGTCCTTAGTAGAGTTTTAGAAGACAGTTGTAAGGCTCTACAGAAAGGCTCTACAGCTAGCAAGTAAAGCACTGGAGTCAGCTAGAAGGCTTTACAGAAACCAGAGGCAAACTTGACAATTAAGTAACCATGCATATATTTACAAATATTTGACAGCTATCAATCTTTAAGAGGCATCTACACATGGAGCCTGCAACAATTAGCACCATGACACAGAACTATACAACAACTACTTCTAAAGAAACATTTAGATTCTGTTCTAGTAGAATAAGTTTGTAGCAATGACAACCAAAAATTTTAATCTCTTGGCAAACTGAGGAAACAGTGCTTCTTATTAAGCACAGATTATGTACAAGTATATTTTATGTATACAATAACAAGTACTCATTTTGTCAGAGTAAACAAGTATATAGCCACATTTTAATTAGCAAGATTGTCTGGATGACAATTTTTGATGCCGTCATAAATCTGTAAGACACTAAGAGGTCAGAATTATACCATACATATAATTAAACCATTTAGGATGAGTCTTTGAAGGCCCATAATTATCCATTTTCAGTGGGTAGAAGTTTCTTTCAGGAGTCAGTAGCTAAGGGAACTGTAGGGTGTGTTCCCCCCCCCCCCCCCCCCCCCCCCCGCCACACACACACCTTGCTGTTGCTCGCTTACTCTGGTGTTTTCTTTTTCTGAAGTGGGGTCTCACTATGCTAGCCAGGTTGGCCTCAAACTCATGGGCTTAAGTGATCCTCCTGCTTCCTCCTCCTGAGGAGCTGCAACTGCAGGTGTGTTCCACCACCTTGAGTTAGACTTTTTACCTTGTTTGTTCATGGAAGGGGCCCACTATGTTGTTCAGGTTGCCCTTGAAGTTATGACAGTCCTCCTGATTCAGCCTCTTGAGTATTGGTAATACACATGTGAACCACAACTATTTCCAGCTTATCATTTTCTCTCTCTCCTCTCTCCCCCACCCCCTCCTCTCTCTGTGGGTCTGTGTTCAGCATGCTATGTGGAGGTCAGGACATAGTGAACAAATTGTTTCTTTCTTTCCTTCCTCCGAAAAAAGAACCTTATGTTATTAAAACATCATAAATTCTATATTCTGTAGATCTCCGAAGTGTATGAAGACCACCTGTCTATCTAAAATGTATCTGTTTGACCTTGAAAACATACCTCACATGACTACAAGTTTGATTGTAATAGGTGACTAACTACTAACCTGCATTTCTTTATTATCCTAAATAGTTTGTAATAATAACTTTCAAGAACTAGAAATTTACATTACATTATTAAATGAGCTGTAATAGGTACAATACCTTGAACAAGAGTAGAAACGTATGTACAGTATGTTCTAACAAAAATAGCCTTATATTTGTATCAATAAACAAAAATATCTTAAGAGTAGAAAGATATATACAGTATAATAAAAATAACCTCAAATTTGTATCAATATACAAAAATCCATATCAATATAAAATATTTAAGACTAGTAGTTGCTTTTTTGGTTTAAAAGTAGATTCAATAATCTACACTTTTATCCTATTTCTATATCCCCCTTTTTTCTTTTTAGAGTTAGATCCCTGGATCTAATCTCCTTTGTTCATCTTTTTTTCTGATCATTATCAATAACAACCTGTAACCAACCCCCTAAACAATAGTAAATATCCATAATTTGTTTTTGGGAATGTGGGCATAGTTCTCTAGAAGACTACTTCCTGATGACTGGGGGCACTGGTAATCTTTGGGGGACCCTGAGAAAAATTAGGATTATGGTCAATTCCTGACTGGAGTATTCTGTGAGGCTGGATCATCTCAGTCAGTAGCCTTGAAGCTGTTCTGGATGCAGAACTCAGAGGAAACTGCAACAGAGGCGCTCTGAAACATTGGATCATCTAGGCCATCTCTTCCCATCGGAGATTTTTCAAGGGGTCTTCCTCAATCAAACCTGATTTTTCTTAACCCAGAAAGAATCCACAGCCTCTTATTTCCTGTGTAAATAAAAGCAAAATCTCTTTCCCAAAGTAACACATCTTTTGACTTAAATTTTGAAGTCAAGATATTTTAAAAATATGTAAGTAGGTTTAATCTAGCCATTTTCATAATCAAATGTCTCTTAGCAGTTATCGGTTGTTCATTACCAGTCAAAAAATTTAAAAACAGCACAGTAGCATACAGTATCCAGACCTCTGTGTATTTTCCATCTTTATATGGCCTATATTTTTATTACTCTATTCCTTTTTCAAGGACTTTCTCTACCCCTTTTCTTTTCTCTCCCAAGGCTACATAAATTTTTTAAACACACTGTGACCCATTTAGAGGCTCTTTTTGTCTGAATCTGTCCTTACATCTGTAGTCATTTCTGTCTGCATGAGCAAAAAACCTGCTGTGTTCATGGTGTTCTGGTGCTGGCTCCTCTCCCCTCGGTTCCCTGAGAGTCTAGTCTCATGGTGATGGCATGTTTACTGCCAGCTCTGGGAGCCATGTTTACCATCCCAACTCTGGGAACTTTCTAGGTCTATGCTGCCACCAAGTATCATGCTGCTGGCTGTTGATAAACACCATTTCAGTGTTTGGTAGCAAGGCCTCTTAAAAGAACTGCCCCATTTTTGCTGCCAGGAAGCCATCTCTTAAAGGAGCTGTACCTCTGCTCATTGTCAGCAAACAGAGCCTACTGGAGAAAAGGCAGCTACCAAGAAGCCATGCTTGACTCCATTCTTATGTGTCTAGAATCGCTTTTTAAGGCCTGTCAGGTTTTATGTGGAAATTTCAGCCACACATTAGAACGCCATATGTAAACAGATGTTTCCATGTCCCGACTGCCCAGTCCCAAATAACTCACTTAGAGGCTAAATATGAATTATAAATGTTCGGCCAATAGCTCAGGCATATAACTAACTAGCTCTTACATTTTAAGTTAACCCATATTTCTATTTATGCTTTGCCACGTGGTGGTACCTTTATTAGCATGGCATGTTCATCTCCTGCTCCCTCTGCATCTGGTTGGTGATTCCTGACTCTGCCCCTCTCCTTTCCATCCTCCTTAGTTTGGTGGCCCTGCCTATACTTCCTGCCTGGCTACTGTCCAATCAGCATTTTATTAAACCAATTCCAGTGACAGATCTTTACAGTGTACAAGAGGATTATTCCACAGCACAGTGCCAGATGATGGGGGAAGTATTAGAAGGGTGGAACCCAAAGTTCCAAGATTTTGATCATAGTCCATTATAGTGAACAGTCCCTACTTACCCTGAAGCTCCAGAGGCCCATCAAGATCTGATCACTGAAACAAGTTGCTCTGGACTCCCAGAAATTCAAAAGGCTGTAGGAGGTATGTATTAAGGTACTCTTTTACTTTTAGCACTTAGGAAACCAGAGGGTGTTAGGAGCTGTATGTTAGGAACACAGGAGTGAAACCAATAAATGCATGCCACTGCAAATTTAAAGAAAAGTACAGGGTAGGTGTGACAACTAATCCCAGCGATTATGAAAAGGCCAGAGTACCATCTACTTGGTTTATTGTTTGAGTATACACAAAAAAAATAGTTTGGGTTCTGGGGAAGCTGGGTTTTGTGACTGGCTGTTTCTGCAGTTCTCCATGTTTTATCTTCAAAATGGAAATGATTTCTGTCTTAAAGATTAAAGTGAGAATGGATGTAAAAAAATCTTAGAAAATGGAGACTTACTACTATTGTTGAACTATATCTTCTGACAATTGATTTGGTGGTATTATTATTCAGGGGAACTTTTGGGGGAAATCATGGCTCCCTTTGAGGGTTTGATGAAAACTATAAACACAGAAAAATACAGGAAGTTTTAGGCAGTCAATAGGACTGTAAAGCTGGAGCCATGATCCCCAAAGTGAAGAACTTTTTATACTATAACCAACATACCAGCAGACTGATTTGAGGTCTCAATAAAAATGATCAAAGAGTATGAAAACAGACAAGAACCAGACATAACCATGTTAAGAAATTCATTATGGTTGGTGTAATTGAGGAATTATGCAGAGAAATAGTGGGGGGTCAGAGAGATAAACTAAGACATCCTATCATATTGAGACACAAATTTACCTCAATATAGAACCTAACTGAAATGTTAAATTTATATGTTATGCTAAATGTTACATTTTCTATAATAGAAACTTAAATATGTAATATCTTTCTGTTTCAGGGCTGGAGTGATGGCTCAATGGTTAAGAGCAGGTCCTGTTCTTGCAGAGAACCCAAGTTCAGTTCACACCACCCATGTCAAGCAGCTCACACTGCATTTAACTCCAGCCCTAGGGAATCCAATGATCTCTTATGGTCTCAGCAGGCACTTCATTCACATACATAAACCCAGATTCAAAACAAATGCATCCACACATAAAAATAAGATCTTAGATTTTGTTTCAATTAACTTATTTCGTCTATATTATATTCTTGGTTAGTGTCACAACTGAATTATCTTATTCTCTGAGTTGATTTTGTTATTACAAGACCTACTGACCTGAATGAGCTTTGTTGCTATTTGGTTTCCTATAGGAACAAGTAGCAATTTGATCAGTGTCAGAGATAATTAATATCCTGGTTTATATAATTAAATAAGTAATACTAAGAGCCTACCAATTTCCTGAAGTTTGGTTCAATCTGTACTGCTTATTGAAGAAATCTCAAAATTTGTAAAAAGGAAGGGCCTTTACCTCCCCCCACTTTGGCCCCTATGGGACAAGACTTACTTTCTGATCCTATTTGGAAAAAACACACTAGAAATGAATAATTTCATCATTTTCCCCACCAACATTTAACAAATGTTCCTTTCATAAGAAAATACTTCCCTTACTCATTCCAATAAAGATTAGCACTCAGAATGTTCATGTCAAAAAGTTTTGTTAACAATAATGCAGCTCATATGTACAAGACTCATTTTAGTTACTGGTCATTTAAGTCTTTGACCCCAAATTAATGAAAGTTTGTAGATTTACTTAGATCCCATCTTTTAAGCAATAATTGCAGCACAAAATTAAAATTCAAAGAGTCACTTGGACTACATTTGCTGACTACTTATCAATTAAGATGCTTTGCTAAATAGAGTTCAAGTTTATAATTATTAATTTCCTTTCACTCTACATTAACTTGGCAATTCAAAAGATTACTATTTTTTATGGATTTTAGTTGCAGTTCAAGCTCCATTAATTTTATTGACTTCAGAACTATCTTGAACTGAAAAATAGATCTTAGCTCAAGATTTTAAGGTTTAAGTGAATGTGTAACTGACTTGAAAGAAATTGGGAGATTCTTTTAAATTTATTGCTTGTCGTACTTGAAATACAAGTTGTGTAGTACTTGAAATACAAATCAAAATATATTTTGTTATATATCACTTTAATAAGCTTGACAATTCTTTTCAATACAAGGTGAGGTAATATAGATACTTTTAATTTCTTTTTAAAAAAACGGTATGTCTTATTGTGGAGGAGAATGGCTAGTCAAAAAGGTACATGACACATAGGCTGTTGTTCTTGCTCTTCATTATTTTAGGAACATACAATTCAACTTAAAATTTGGTCCACTAAAATACAGAACTCCCCCCCCCCCCCCCCCCGCCACCCCGCCGTAACAAAAATAAATTAACCTCACAGTTGAAAGAGAAATTTGGCATAGGTCTCTGTGTGACCTCGAAAGACAAGTCAGGCTTTGTGTCACCTGCACAGAACCCGCCTCAAACCCCGACAGTACAGCTGGATGCCAGTTTCTGGACTTGTTCTGTGCCGCAGCAGGACAGCAGGTGGATGGGAGGATGCTCAAGACTCACGACAGCCACAGGACCACTTACTCCAAATTAAGCAAGATTTAATGGAGAACAATAAATGACATCAGTAGAACAATCTCAAGAGTTTTGTTGCCTGAACAGTGGGTTGTAAGCTTAGAACGGGGACTTGAGCAGGAGCGATACAACATGTTGTACGATTCGGAAGGTGAGCAAATGCTTTCAATCATTCCAGATGCCTTGTGCACAGTACAACAGTTTCCAGGGCAGTGAGGACAACAAAACCCACGAAGAATAAATGAGAGCTGCTTAACTTTCTACAAGTCTCTTGAGTATTAAACCCAGGCCACCCTTGGCCACTTGCAGGGGTGTCTTTTCTTCTTTATTCTCGATGTAAATACTTGCTCCTTGGGTCACCAGTAATTTTGCTTCTTCCACTCTCTCCTCATCACAGGCTAAGTGTCTGAAATTGGGGATCACAAAAATGAATGAGTCACTACCAGTTCTATATAGTCGTTAGGATTTCTAGTCTAACTGCTTATCCCTGGACAGTGGTGATATTGGAAAGTTATTTCATCAGGAAAAGGGAAATCAACTGGCATGGGAAAGACTGGAAATTAAAATTAACTAGAATAGCTCTATAAACCAGATCATAAATCATGCTCCTGGTCCCACTAAAACACACAGTTGGCTCTAAATGCTAGCCTAAGGCACAACTTCCTCATTTGATGGAGATTAATGGTAATTTACTCTAAGCACTTTAATGTAATAATTCAGGTAGAATTAAGGGAAGCTTCAATTCACGTTCTGCTTCTATAATAATGCGTGACTTTTGGAAAAACACTTAAAAAGATCTGATCTCACTTGATTCATTTATCTCCACTGACAAATCAAGGTACAATTAGCACTGGGTTACAGTAGAAGTTGTCACAGAGTCTGTTAAAGTTCTTGTTCTGATGACAGGGGTCAACAGTTAACTTGCCGAGGAAAGAAACCAACCTCTGCCAGTCACTTATATAGAGTTTGACAGGCAAAGTATTAGGCACTTTATATAGCATTTTATTTAAACCTCACAGTAATCCAGTGAGGAAGAAATTACTACTATAAAATTACAGAGAAGGAAATTAAGGGGAAGGATGGTTAAGTTCCTTAATATGCATACTTAATGTAGTTGCAAAGGGGCAGCACTTGTATTGAAGAACAGTATCCATGAAATTCTAAATCCTATTTTCTCCCAAGGACCCTATACTATCTAATTCCTAGACTATTTCCAGGCCAATGTGATTAATGACACATGGAGAAATAAGCTAGACTATTCATTAAAAAAACAGTCACTTTGGCCTACAAGAAAGATTTTTAAATTAAGAATGAAGAAAACACTATTTTTCTTGGTCTTCATTGGGTCCCTCCCCTCAGAGATTGGGGAACCCTGTGGAAGAGGGGCAAGAAAGACTGTAGTAGTGAGAGGGGATGGCGGACACCAGGAGAGCAGGGCTGACTCACGGAGACATAAACAGAAAGTCGGGACCCGCTGGGGTCTGCACCAGATCCTCTGTGTGTATGTTATGGCTGTTAGCTTGTGAGAGTGGGACTCCTAACAGTGGGCGTGGGTGTGTGTGTGAATCTTTGGCCTGGGCTTAGGAAGTTTTTCTGCCTGCTGGGCTGCCTCATCCAGCCTCATTATGAGGGCTTTCACCTTGTCTTATTGTACTTGGTTGTGCTGTGTTGGCTGATACCTTTTGGAGGCCTGCTCCTTAATAAAGAGGAAATGGAGGGGGGAGTGGATCTGGGGGAGTGGGGAGGTAGTGGGGAGCAAGGAAGAGTAGAGGAAGAGAAAAATGTGGTTGTGATGTATAAGAGAAGAATCTATTTTTAATAAAGAAAACAATGTTTATTTTTATGACAGGATCTCTCTATGTAACTTTGGCTCCCACAGGAACTTGCTATGTAGACAAGGCTGACCTTGAACTCAGAGATCTGTCTGTCTTTCTTCCTCCCAAGTGCTGGGATTAAAGGCATGCACCATCACCACTGGTCAGTATTGTTTTTGTTTTCTAATAGGGTCTTACTATGGAGCCCTGGCTGAACTGAAACTAGCTATATTGACCAGGCTGGCTCGAACTCACAGAGATCTGCCTTTCTTTGCCTCTCCAGGGCTAGGATTAAAGGTATGTGCTACCATGTTCAGCCCTTGAAAACAATACTTTCAAAAGCTGTCTTAAAGTCAGCCTTATTCTAGACTACAAAAAGACCCAGAATTTCTGACTTGAAAAAGGTCATTATTCAACAAAGGAGAAAAATGGGTATGTAAAAACCACACACAAAGACGGACAGACACACACAAACACAAAGTAAAGGTTGGTTTGAAGTTATCCACATTAATCAATCCCAGGCAGATTTAAGAGTCACAGAAGTGAATACTTCATTCATCTCAGGATGAGAGAAAAGCTTTCCACATGTGATGGAAATGAATAGATTTGTCTACATAGTAACTGGTCACTTGTGATAGTTGAAAAATCACGAACAAATAAATAGACAGACTGGGAAAATATTTTCAACTGCTATGACATAATGTTCCTATTTTTACTGTGTCAAGAGCACTTAAAAGTCTGTGAAAATGACAAAAGGCTATATACTACATGACACACTGAGGTCCCCAATGCCACCAGGACGAATGAAGAAGTGTTGGAGAGTGGGGGGGGGGGGGGGGGGGGGGGGGGGGGGAGAAGCAAAGAGGTTTGTTTTGCTGTTTTGTTACTGTTTTTGTTTGTTTGCTTGCTTACTTTGTTTTGTTTCTTTTGTGGGCGGCACTGTAGGGGTGAGGGGAGGATACAGGGGGATCAGGAGGTAAATGGAATTGAGGTACATGATGTGAAACTCCCAAAGAATTAATAAAGAAGTTTTAACAAAAGAGTCTGTCAAAATGAATGAATTCCCCTGAAAGGGAACAGAAAGGCCACAAAATGTCATAATTTTAGGCATTAATAAATTTCAAAATCAGTAACAAAATGTCAGTTCTAACCATGAACTGTCACACTGTGTACAACACGAGGGTAATTCAGTACTGATGAGGAGGTACTAGGTACTGTTAAGAAGCTGTTGGGAGGGTATAATGAGACAACTCCTCTGGAAGCAATTTGTCTTGAAGCATGTGTATTTGTTGAAACAATCAACTTCTAAGAGTCTATCCTAAGGTCACAATCAGCAATATGGGCGCAGATTTTCTTAAACAAATCGGTCAATGCAGCATTACTTAAAATAGTCAAAGGCTCAAAGCTCTTTAAGTAAACAGTATCAGGAATGATTAAATCATGGCACATGTGTACAGCCATCATAAATGTTTTAAATGTCTTTAATGACATTGAAAAATGCTCACAATGTGCCATGAGATGAAAACATAAAATTATTACATCTCAAATTTTGCTATTATATGCTACATATACATATCTGCATATAAACAACTGGAAAGAAATATTCAAAAATGCTATTAGTATTTTTTTGGGATAGCAAAATGATAGTCAATTTTAGTTTTTCTCATTATGCTTTGGTATCCTTTCAATTTGTTTTTTTGCTCTTAGACTGTATTGCACTTCTAAGCAGAATAAAAACGACTGCTATTTGTCACTTACAGAGGAGTGTTACCCTCAGTGTCTTGGATGTTTGTGGATGCTTTGTAGAACAGAAGGACATGAACCGTCTTCAAGTTACCCTTGGCTGCTGCCCGGTGCATTGCTGTGGCTTCATAATGGTCCTTCGCATCTGGATTAGCCCCACCTTCTAGTAACATGACAGCAATCTGGAAAGGAGGACAAGAAAACAATGCGGAATGTTTCTGTTCGTGTTGAGAACGCAAAGGGAAATAATGCAGGGACAGAACCATACCTCATGCCTATTTTTCGAAGCAGCATAATGGAGAGGGGTGCAGCCATTTTGGTTGACAGCATTCACTTGGGCACCTTTTACCAGAAGGGCTTTTACAATCTCATCCCGGCCAGCAGAAGCAGCAATATGAAGAGGAGACCAGCCTGCCTGTATAAAAGGTGGGTTTTTACAAACGCCAAGGAGAAAAGGGACAGAGGTATGAACATTAACATTTGTTCGAGGTTTATAGAGTTGTATAGATAATTTAACAACCTTCTCCTCCCACTCCATTAAGCACTGTGGAAAATTTGGAAACAAAAATTTATACAAAAGAAAAAATGAGCTGGAGAGATGGTTCAGTGGTTAAGAGCACGTACTGCTCTTTCAAAGGACCTTCCCTTGGTTCAGACAGAACACAAAGGTCTGTAATACCACCTCTGGGGATCTGATGCCCTCTTCTGGCCTCCAAAGGCAACTGCACATAGATGGCATATTCTCACAGATACACACAAACAAAAATAAAATCAATCATTTAAAAATAGCCACAATCCTATAACACAGATATGACATATAAGACTAATTCTAATACAATAACTTAAAAAAATAAAAACTAGAATCAGAGTATATGAAATTCTGTGAGGTGTGTTTTCCACAATTTCTACTTAGCATCTTAAGAATTTTTCTGCCATTCTTTGGAATGATTGATTGCATATTAACTTACAAAGTATGTATACCATGCTCTATTCAATCATTCTCCCTTAAAATTTTTATTTTCTCTTATAAATATTACTTTAGTAAACATCTCTGAAAATTAACCTGTGCCTACAAAACATGCTCCATTCTCAGTTTTTACAAGTCTTATCTTTTTACTTTCAGGTCCTCTGAAGCAGGAATTACAGGAGGTTGTGAGCCACCCGACATGGGTACTGGTATCGGGGACTAGGGGTGTCCAGCCCCTCGATAGTCCCCCCCCCCCAGGGTCCAGGAAGAATCTACAACCAGCTGATAATTAATCTTTGATAAAAAGAAATGAATCTATGTACACGAAACTCCTTAGTTCATACACTTTATTATTCTGTGATAGTTCTCTCTCTACACAGCTTCTATTCTGCTCTCATGTCTAGCTCCTTTCTTGCCTGATTACTCTATATTTATCTATTGTCCTCTCTAGGTTCTATCTTAATTCCTTCATCTAGTTCTGTCCCTTCTAGGTTCTCATCCATCTAGTTCATCCATCAGCTCCTCTCTCATCTCCTTCTCTCTCATCTGGCTCTTCCTCATCTTGTTCTTCCCCATCTGGCTCTTCCTCATCTTCCATCTCGTTCCCTAGTCCTCTCTTCTAGCCCTTCAATCTAGTTCTTCCCCCATCTCAGTTTGTTCCTCTCAAGTTCTTACCCATCTAGTTCTTCCATTCTCTTTTCTCTTCTCCACCCCGTGCCCTGGAAGTCTTGGTATATAAAGGGAGGGTCCGAGTTAAATTGTGTAAAGCTATTACTTAACGTCCACCTTACCGAGGTGGTGTCTCCTTGTAGAATTTACCTTAAGTCAGGAGACTTGCGTGTGGGCTGCTATCACTGTTAATCATTGAAAGTTGGGCGCCCACCTGGGCGTTGTCTCCTGTTAGTCCTTGAAAGTGGCTAAGGGAGATAATCTAATTCCAGAGAAAGCCTTTCCTAAGGCTGTTCTCCAAATTCCTGGAATGTGTATGTCCAGAGAGTGATCAGTCCACATTATTAGCCCTTCTAAGGGAAAAGTCAATTGGGAAAACTATGAAGGCACACATGATTTTCATAACAGAATACAGCTGATATATAACAAGCCAAATAACACCAAAAACTCCTTGGAATTTGGCTTCCTCTGGAGGAATTCCCTGATCCCTCCAGGTAGTGACTTGGCCATAACCAGCTGAGTTCTTATGATATATTCCTGAAGCCTGCAGCATACTGGAACCAAACCTTGGTCCTTTCTCCAAGAGCAGCAACTTAACTACTGAAACATCTCTCTAGCTTCCACAAGTCTTATCTTAATATAGCCAATATCATTATAATAAATGTTTCTACGTAACACATATACACCTAGGCCTTTATTATTCAGGCAACATTCACCAACAATTTTAACATAAATATGCTAACAGTCTTTTTGAGTTCATAATAATAAGCCCTGAATTATAGAGTTTCCTTACCATTCTAAAATATTGTAATCATTAGCCTCCTGCCTATTCACTAAGGCCATACTATAACTTCCTACTTATAAAGGTTCCAATTTTGTTTATGAGCTTAATATTCAGACTTCAGTAAATACAAGGCTGGGGTGTAAAGATAACCCAGGGTTTATCAAACTTGCCTAGTACTTACGTCATCTTTATCATTCACTGGCACTCCAAGTTCCAGCAAGAATTCAACAATTTCTGTATGACCAGCTGAGCATGCCCAGTGCAACGCAGTCCTGCTGTCCTATATGGGAAACAGGGGAGCACAGCTATCAACATTCCTGAAGACAAATAAGCAGAACAATGCTGATGCTGGCAAACCTCTAGTTTGAACATAAGAAATGGAGAGCACCAGGTCCTCAGGTAGGTAACCTTAAGCCATATTACTTACCAGCATTTGAGAGGCCCAGGTATTAGTAACATGGGTGAATAACACCAATAAATGTAAGGAATTCTGGGCAGGATAGAGTGATAAAAGCATTGGTTTCAATACAGTGGCAGAAATGGAGATTTGCTGTGTACAACTCCAACGTTTATCATGCCTGTGAAACACTGTGCCACTTTTACATGCATCATTTTTTTTGACCCTCACCATTCTATATGGTCCCTATTATCCCCCATTTTACACATAAAGAAACTAAGACTACTTCACATAAGCAACTTATCCAGCGTCACATAATTTATCCAAGCTCTGTGACTGTGAAATCTCTATTACCACATAAACTTCAAGTGAGAGGTTCTACAAAGAAGATGTGAATTTTTGTTTTGTTTTGGTCAAGGCCTTGCTATGTAGCCAACATTAGCTTCAAATTCTCAATCCTTTCCCTCCATCTCCTAAGTGCTAGGTTTACAGGCATATGCCACTACATCTGGTGAACACATGAATGTTATGGAGAAAGAAATTAGAAATGTTCATACAAATAGTTGAGATTATTTTATAAAAACATACCCCACAGAATCAGTGCAATAAAATTGTGTTTTTTAAATAACAAGGTAGGAATCATGATTCTCAGAGTCCCTATTTGTGTTGATTGCCATACTTCTTAGCCTTGAGTAATACAGTGTAGTGATTGTATGTATGCATGTATAATGTGTGTGTGTGTGTGGGGGTGCCGGTGGGTCAAACCTAGGGCCTCCTGCACGTTAAAGCAAGTGCTCTACCACTGAGCCTGTAAAGCAACTTGACTGTGACACTCAGGGAGCGGCCTGGTTGGGGGTAGAGGCTCTATTAATAATGAAAAGGAGGGCCGGGCGGTGGTGGCACACACCTTTAAGCCCAGCACTCGGAAGGCAGAGGCAGGTGGATCTCTGTGAGTTCGAGGCCAGCCTGGTCTACAGAGCGAGTTCCAGGACAGGCTCCAAAGCTACCCAGAGAAACCCTGTCTGGAAATAAACCAAAACCAACCAACCAACCAACCAAACAAACAAAGAATGAAAAGGAGAGGGGTAGAACCACCATCACTTGATACTTCTGCTGGTGCCCAGGGAGGGAGCCAGCTGGAAGTCTCACTGCTGTGGACACCTGTGGCTTTCCCTGTCAATGTCCCCAGAGAGCAGTTAAACTTTATGAAAAATTCAAATACACATAAAATAGAAGGAATATGACAGAGACCCACAGGCGTCCATTATCTAGAGTTAATGAAAAATATCTTGCTGTATTTACTTCTAGATTGTTGTTACTTGAGTTTCCATTTTTAAGAATAATTTTACTTTTAATCGTGTGCATGTGTGTGAGTTTGTGTACATGACCACATGTGGATGGGGAGGCCAGATGAACTGAATTCTGGTCCTCTGGAAAAGGAGTATGTACTCTTAACCACTGGTCCACCTCTTTGGCCCTGCTGAGGTTTCTTGAAAACAGGACCCTAAATGTCATGATTGTTCACCTCTAATTATTTCAGCACCTACAAAATAAAAGGGCTTTCATAAAAAAAAAAAACCACAAGACCATTATTAGACTTTTAAAATTAACGTTAACTCTTTGTCATGGGTGGAATGTAAACCTTCCAGGACTTGGTGTATAGGAGGCTCTTGAGTAGATGGAAACCTGGGTTACATAGGGAGATCAAATCTTAAAGAACAAAAGAAGTAAGATCAATAAAATTAACATTAACTCATTTAAAACAACTAATAGCCAATTTCACATTCAGAATTCCTTGTCTCCTACAAGCCTTTTTTCAGGTGGTTTAAAAATGGATGCAAATAAAGTCCATAAATTAATTGCATATGGTTGTTGTGTTAAGCTTCACAATCCTGACTAACACTCCCTTTTATGCCACTGACTGATTCAAGAATGGTTGTTACATTTTCAGTGGATTAAGTTTTAATATAACTCATTTTATTACATTTGAACCGTATTACCAGACAATAACAGAAGCAAACTAGGTGGACACGGGGGAATTCTCCTGTTGAGTAATAAAGGAAAATTCCAAAGAAAACAGTCTCTTCATTTCGAGTTACCCTCTAAAAGAGACACAACATGGAGATTTTTGAAGTGTTATACATTGTGTTACTAGTGTTTAACACCGTGTCTGTCAAACAGGAGGCCATCTATGATTTAGAAAGTCATGTAGAAAACATGAGATTTTGTTGATCAGAACAGAATCACTTTCCACTGTCCATTTACTTTTGTTTGCCTCCGTTCACTGAGTTCCACTGGATGTGGAAATCCCATTCTTTCTTCACGGTGTAAATAACCTCCCTTTCTATACAAAGACCTTTCGGAATATTCCTATAGATTCTTCCCTTTCCATCCTGAAACGAATACGTAAAGTTCTTTCGGGGGGAGAAAGGGGGTTACAATACATAATAAGTCATGTTTTGTCGTTATTTCATTTATGCCTACTTTCTCTACTTAACTAAAATTCCCGGCTCCTCTCATACTTCCTGGCACAAAATAGGCATTCAGTTACACGTGGTTCATTAAATAGGATTACAACTAAAGAAAAAGAAATCCACATAAAACGCTTTCTTCACGAAACTCAGTCTCTCAAAGCCTGGGCATTTCTGAGAAAAGCGGGAGATGTTCTAGAAACGTAAGAAATTCAGCAAGCAAAGCGGCTGCCCCCTCCCCCTCCCCAAAAAGTCTGTTGGGGGCTAGAGTTGGACAGCAAGTCTTGAGCTAACCCAAAGCTATGGGAGGGAGGAAGGGGCGGGAGGAGCTCAGAAGTGGCCTTGGACCAAATCAAGTCCGGGAAGCCATGCAGGGTTTCACTGACGCCCGCGGCTAGGCGACAGGCCTTCGGGCTGCTTTACCTGATCGGTTCTAGTAGCTAGAGATACATCGGCCAAAATGTGCTCCTTCAACTCATCCAGCTTCCCGGTGTAGGCCAGGTTGCAGACCATTACGTTAGACACACACCCCTCCATTTCGCCTTCCCAGGATCTCCGTGAAGCTCAAGTCCCGCCCATTCACGTCTCCTGCTCCGGCAACCAATCAAAGAGCTAGAGGTTCTCCAATCACTGTTCTCTCTGTATTCTGTGTTGCCCGTCCAATAGCCCGGAGCTTCTGGGAGTTGCAGTTTGAAGGAATTTCCGGGCCTGGAGGCATCTTTGCCGGCTACTCAGTTCCGGCTCCTAGCAATGTGGAACTACAAGTCCCAGAATCCTCTGAGAAAGCCGTAGTCAAGTTGCCGGTGGAATTGGCCCAGGATGACAGCTGGAGAATGGAGTCAGGTAATGGGAGCGGCTTCTGGAGGCACTGTGTGAAAGAGCTAGGGTGGGTGGTCGTTGGAGGGCCAGTAAATCAGCCACATGAAACGGAAACTGTACCGGGGCAAGAGAGTTCTGGGATCCTAAAGATCTTGTTCCTCTGGGCCCTCACTCGCAGTGGCAGGCGGAAGGGACAGTAGTTGGAGCTGAGTACTACCTCTTGAGCTTGAACCACGGACTGTAGCTACCCTCCCCCTCCCTACCACTGTCCAAGGAGTGGAAAGCAGCACAGGCTAGTTACCCTGCCATCCCGGCAGAGTGGCATCAGAGGAGGATTCTGCCACAGCAGCGGTTACACATGACACCATACAGAGGTGATGTGCCAGAGTGATGCTAAAGACAGGGTGTGATGCCATAGGAGCCAAAGACAGGGTGTGATGCCATAGGAGCCACTTGATACCTAAGAGACCTCAGTGAGTCTGTAGCCTGGTGACATCGCTACTTAACTGTGGTCATCTTAGGGATACCGGGGTATGATGTTGTCACTTTAATATCATGGTAATGGCAATTACATTGAGACTTGCTAGGATTTTAAGCTAACAATGTGGGGTTTTTTTAAAAAAGGAAATTCCAAATAGTGCTGTAGCAGAGGATATGCAAGTCTTATCTTTTATAGAGCATATCCAAAAGGGTATTAGAAAATAGGTTAAAAATATATTTTTAAAAATGATCATGTTTATGTCTCTCCTGTTGTGATATAGAACAGGGTTTAGCAAACTTCTTGCAAAATGTCAGGTTATAGATATTTTAGGCTTTTGGTGGGCAAATGGTAAAACCAAGTCTAGAAGACAAGTTATGACAAAGTTAATTGATGAAAATCTAAATATAATAATAGTTGAATATATTTTTAACACAGAAATACTGAGATCAGAATTATTTCAGGGAGGTACTATTTTGCTTAATTGAGGTTTAAAGTTAATATTTTCTATCATTAAATCAATTCCAGATGTTCTTTAGTTAATGATATTTTTAATCTATTTTAATCTATAGGAAAGTCTTTGAGAAGCTACTACCAAATATTGATAATCCATGAACACATTCTTTTAAAGTCTATTTTATTGATTGTGTGTGTCTCCCTCTTCCTCCCTCCCCCTCCACCCTCTGTGTGTGTGTGTATGTGTGTGTGTACATACATGCCTTGGCATGCATGTGGAAGTCTGAGAACAACTTTTGGGGGTTGATTCTCTCCTTCTGTCATGTGGTTCTGGGGATTTAGCACAGGTCATCAGGCTTTCTTGTGGAACTATCTTGAAGGTCATAAGTTCTAATTTTGATTTAAATAAATGTAAACATTTTTCCATAACAGTTTTAGATTTATAGAAAAGTTGTAAAGCCAGGTGCTATGGCTCACACTTTTTTTTTTTGGTTTTAATTTTCTTTTTTTTTTAAATTTATTTTGCAATACAATTCAGTTCTACATATCAGCCACAGATTCCCTTGTTCTCCCCACTCCCGTCCCCCTCACCTTCCCCCCAACCCCCCCCATTCCCATCTCTTCCAGGGAAAAGCCTTCCCCACAGACTGAGGTCAACCTGGTAGACTCAGTCCAGGTAGGTCTAGACCCCTCCTCCCAGGCCGAGCCAAACAATCCTGCATAGGCCCCAGGTTTCAAACAGTATGGCTCACACTTTTAATCCCAGCACTTGAGAAGCAGAGGCAGGCAGATCTCTGTGAGTTTAAGGCCAGTCTGATCTACAGAGTGAGTTGACATCTGGGACTATATAAAGCAAGACCCTGTCTCAGAACAAATGTTGCAAAGATAGTACAGAATTCCTACATATTCTCTACCCAGTTTTACCTTTTCCTCCCTATATAACAATTTGCTTATGATAACTTACATAGCATAAAAGTCAACTGGGCCTAGGGGTACCCACCAGTAGAACATTTAGCTGACATGTGCAAGGCCCTAGCTTCAATCCTCAGCCCTACAAAAGCAAAACCTGAATGAAATACACCTATTTAAGTATTAATTGATTATTAGTTTCAGAGTTATGCAGCTATCACAATGAATCAGTTGTAGAACATTTTGATCCTTCCAGTAAGATTTTTTGCCCATTTTCAGTTAATCTTTATCTCCTCTTCCTGCCCAGTGTACTCTTTGTCTTTATAAAATTGCCCATTCTTAATATTTCACATAAGTTAAATCATGTAAGATGTGGACTTTTGAGTCTGGCTTCTTTTACCCAACATAATAGTTTTGAGACATAACCATATTGTTGCATGTGTAAGTACTTCCTTACTTTCGTTGCCTAATAATATTACAGTGTGTGAGTAATACATTTTGGGGTATCTACTCACCAATTGTTGGAGATGTAGTTGTTTTTTTCCCCTAGTTGTTAGCTACTGTGACTAATGCTGCTTAGGACACCGGTGTACACATCTTTGTGTGGACATTTGTTTTCATCTTTTGTTTCTAGATACCTGAAGGTGGAATTCCTGGGTAATAGGACAATTGATGTTTAACTTTTAAAGCAGTTACAAAACTGTTTTTCAAGGCAGCAGCCACATTCTGTGCATGAGGCTTCTTGTTGCACCACATCCTCATGCACATTTGTTATCGACTGAGCTCTTCTTGTTGTTTTGTTTGAGAGTCTTATTATGAGGCCCAGGATGATTTCAAACTCACAATCCTCCCACTTCAGCCTCCAAAATACTTGGATTTCAGGTGTGTGCCTTGCTGTTTAAAAAGATTATAGCTGTTGAAGTTGGTATGGCATGATCTATTATAGTTTTAATGTTTATTTCCATATGGAGTGGCTGGTGGTAGTAAACATCTTTTAAGTGTTTATAAGCCATTACTGGATCTTCTATACATAAGGAGCTGCTTCTGTGCTTATTGAAAACTGGGTTGTCATTTAACAGTTGAGTTGTAACAATTATTTCCATAGTCTAAATCCAAGTCCCTGTATATGATATGCAATTACTTATCCCCAATTCATAGTCTGTCTTTCCCCCTTTTGCTTTGTTTTGTTTTTGTTTTGTGCTATTTTGTTTTTTGAGACATGGTCTCACTGTGTATCCCAAGCTAGTGTCAAACTTGCATTCTTTCTGCCTTTGACTCCCGAATCACTATTACTGGTGTGTGCCTCTGTGTTCAGCTTTTTCAGCTTTTTCTGTATCACAATGGTATGTGTTTTGGAGGGAAAGGTTTTGATGGTTTTTTGTTTTGTTTTTGTTTTTCGAGACAGGGTTTCTCTGTGTAACAGTCCTGGCTATCCTGGAACTTGATTTGGAGACCAGGCTGGCTTTAAAACTCACAGAGATCCGCCGGCCTCTGCCTCCCAAGTGTTGGGATTAAAGGCGTGCGCCATCACCGCTTGGCAATTTTTTTTTTGAGACAAGGTCTCACTCTGTAGTCCAGGCTGGGCTGCAACTTACTGTGTAACCCAGGCTTGCCCAGGACTCATAGTGACCCTCCTGCTTCAAGCTCCCAAGTGCTGCTGTTACTGGAATCAGCACCAGGCCTCACTCATATTTTGAGTTTTGATAAGTTGGAATTTATTCTTTTTTTCTTTTTAGTGTTGTACCTAGTTAGACTGCAGAATCTAAGATTTTGATGAGTTATTTCCTCCTGGAAATTTTGTTTTCTCTTTTGCATTTAAGTCTATGAATCATTTTGAGTTCACTTTTCTCTATGGTGTAACATCAGGTTAGCTAAGGTCGTTATCCAGATTGTTCTCGCAGCATTTGCTGAATCTTTTATTATTAAAATTTTAATTCTCTCTTCTATCAGTGTACGGATAAACATACATTGTATATTTTAATCAGCTGTTCTCCACACTTTGTTCCAGTTTAATTAGTTATCTTTGGGCAGTGTCTTCTCCATGATAGTATGCTCACACAGCATTTCTGTATCTTTAGAAGCTTTTGGCTTGTGGCAGTTTCTCACATTTTGCTTGCTTTGATGACCTTGGTAGTTTTGAAGTGTACTTGTTAGATACTTTTTAGGTCTATTTTTCTTATGATTGGACTGGGGTACAGGAGCATAGGATTTTAACTGACCATATTTGCTGCTTGAGAAATAAGTCGATTGTCACATTTGCTTCGGGAGATGTCAATACGTTGCAGATTAATCACTTCCAACTGAAGGTTAGGTGAAAGACCCTCAGCTGCACAGGGAAACGGATCTTGGGCTACAGAAATAACCTTTCCACTTGCTTTAAGGTCTAAAGACTGCTGCTAGAACTGCAGTGTGAACTCAAAAACAATGTGTTCTAAATTTGTGTGTGACTGGGGATACTGTTCCTGTTTTAACTTTTGCTTAAAGGCAGCTGTATTGTGGTATAAATTGTATGCAATAAATCTCATTGTGTCCAGATATTAAAAGTTCAGTGTACTTGGTTATAAATCTATACTGTTGTGTAACCGACACCAAAGTCGAGATATAAAACATTTCCATACTTTCCCTAAATTCTCACATGCTCCTTTATGGCCACTCTTTTCCCCCACTCACTATTCTTGACAACTACTAAACTGATTTCTGACCTTGTAATTTTTTAAGTACATTTATTGATTATAAGCATTTATAGTGTTGTGTTACCACTACCCAAAGCTTGTTTGAAATCATCTACTTTAACTAAGAAGGAAGCTTTGTGTCTGTCATTCTTCCTTTTGCTGTCCGTATACAAACATTAGTCTGTAGGGTTTCATTTTATGAGCATTAACTACAAATAAGATAATAAAAATATGTGGCCTTTTATGGCTTGCTT